ATCTATTGTATTAGTTTATTCATTTTTCGAGGGTGATTGTCCATGTGGCGAGACAATTACCATTGCTGAACTTATCTGTATACTGTTCGAAGCATTTAATTTTATCTGTTATTTTTTTTAATTAAATACTTTTCAAATTTTACAGAGTACAGCAATAGATGAATATAAAATAGGATCGTTCAAAATATCGCCCCCATCTGTAAAATATGATGGGCACCCAAACACGGTAAACACATAGTGAACTATGTCCGCAGTAACTTGGACCCATTACATCGAATTAATCTAAATCCAAAAATTTATGAAAAACTATTTAATAACAAACAAATCCATTTAATAACAAACAAATCCATGGTGAATAACTGTGGATATAGAGTCAAAATTTGTATTTCAATACGTCAAATTCCAGATACATTAGATACAGGTCTGAAATGGTCATTAATGTGTGAAAAGGTGTGCGGGTGAAGTGTGATATGATGTTGAAAGTATAGGAAGGTAGATACAAAAATTAATAAAACAAAAATAATAATAATATGGGGAGCAAAGAGACTAGGCTAGACTGTTGTTTCACTATCCAATAAACATTTCCATAGATGCTTAGTGACCTCAGCTTTGAAAAGACTAGTAGACACAATCTGTCTTACCTGTAAAGGGAGTCCATTCCACAGTATATGGGTTCTGTAGAAAAATGATTTTGCCAGTGGGCTATTTGAGGTACATGTGGTGTGTGAATTCTGACTTAACTTAGGTAAAATTGATGACACAATAGACAGACTGTCGAGGTGGCAACGTCTTAGTCGAGAAGTGCCCTGATATAAAGAGAGATAGTGAGGCAGCGATACAGGAATTAAATTGTTAAGAACTTTGTGGAAAAAAATAAGATCATTCAAGTCAAACTTTTGAGCCAAAGGGAGAATGTCGACAAGCTTGCACTTTTTGACATATTGCTCAGGTGGATAACTGCGGCCCTCTTCAGACAGAATCCATTTAATAGCTCTCTTTTGGAGACTTTCTAATTTATCACTAAGTGATTTATTACAAGGGCGCCAGATTATGGAACAATTTTCGAATTGGCTACGAACCAGGGAGAGATAAAGCGCCCGGCGACGTTTCTGATCAATGACTATATGGCCATCTCTTCTGACCATACCAAGTTGTTGGCAGGCCTTAGTATAAATTCTGTCGCACTGACTATTCCAACTTAGCTTAGGAGTAACATCGACTCCAAGATCTTTTTCTAACTCTACATACACAAGAGGAGAGCCATCAAGATTATATGCAAATGGAGGAGATAAAGATGGTTTTCCTGAAACAATAAGCACTTTACATTTTGCTGGATGGAATCGCATTTTGTTTCTTAGTGCCCAGTCAGAGAGATAGTCTATATCCATTTGTAAATTAGTATTATCAGAAGATGAATGTATTTTACGCCAGATTTTTGTATCATCGGCATACAAAACAATATCAGTATTATCCGAAAGGCCAAGAGGAATATCATTGATAAACAATACAATAATAAAAAATTAAATACATTAATTGAGTACTATGTATTGTGCATGGAAATATTTTAAGCGGGTAATATCCTGTCCAAACCCAGGATACATAACATGAAGACTTTGTTGTAACTTGTATGAAAAACATTAATACACGCTAACCTCGATATACCGTACCCTGATTAACTGCAAATCCGGATTAACAGTACTTTTTCCCTTTCCCACAAATTGTTTAGATAATCTACATTTTTAGTCATAGATTCATCAAAAACCAATACAATAAAACATCTTGATCAATAAATGCTTAGCAGCACCAGACAGCGGCCGTGTACCTCTTTTGACTCCACGGATCGGAGTCCCTGATGGACTTTTGTTTAATTTTGTTAGTAATTGGACCAACCTTTCTTTCTCGAGACATGTATCCTACTGTACTTCATTATAGTATTATGATAAAGCAAATGTGACTAGATATTACTACGAAATAGATTTATACCAAATTGTTTATGATATTTACTAACCGTGTTGATGGTTTTAGATTTTGTATGTTGTGAGTATTTTAATGTGAAGCGTTTACTTTTCCCCTTGTAGCGCGATGCACTACTGGGCCGCGCCGCGCATCTTCTCGCAACCTTATGCAGATCGGCAAGATGCGAAGGATTGACATCGTGAATCAACTCTTCCCCCTCGGCAAGACAGTTAGATTAATGATAATAATTGTCAAATGACGTAGTACATAATATATTATAAAACAGTTATAATATATTGTATATGGATTTAAATGTTCAATGTTGTAGAGCGATTTCAGAAGTAGCGGTCTTGCTGTATCCAAAGCCCTCTCACTTGCAATAGCATGCGACCGCAGTACGTGTAGACACATGGCTATGTGAAGCTAAGTAGCGGTCCACAGGGGTCCGAAAAAGCCGTACAGACACTTGGGTCCTTATCCTTGTCACTAGTCTCAATTGGATTCAGTTTACACAAAACATGAACATTTACAATTTGGACGTACACATTGACACAATATTTATTAGAAAACAAAAAGTATAAAATAATATGTGCGTGCGCGGCTTGAGCCGAGCCGCATAAGAATTGATGCGTGTAGGGGCTGGAGTACGCTTGTTTATAGATTAATGAAATGTTGCATTGTAAATATTTAAAATTGACGATACATTATGATCTAATAGTTAATTTTACAAAGCTGGATTTTGATTTAGGTAAAATTATAGTTTATTTTTAAAAACTAGGGATAGTTTTAAATTTACTTTGTCGTATAACTATAAACAAGTTAATTCTGTTTTCAAGAATGCGCGGCTTTGGCGGCCAGTTATTGATTTATACATTAAATTGAATCTAGAAATGTGGATATATTAAAATTTAAAACTTTCAAAACGGAGGCTTATAAATTTTATTATATTATGATTGTAAAATAAAGGATACAATTTTAAATTTGTTTCACTAAAATTTGTTTCACTTTAAAATTAGGCTTATAAATGGGTCCCAGATAGTTATGAGCTTTACAGACTAGTTATTTGTTGAAACAATTATACTGTCCAGAAAGGTAGGGTGCCCTGCTAAAAGAACTGGATTCTTCCAGGAAGCATCCCGTGCACAGAGCTTGGTCTACATATAAATTAAATTATTAACCATTCATTCTGTATGTGCACGAAAATTTATTTGAATCAATCAAGAAACCACATGATCAGACTGGAACTTAAATGTAAGGGTATTAATATAAACCCAGAAGCTATGTCCAACTTCAGACAATGTAAAACCACCAAGTGTTGCATTAAGTAAAAACTGTGTATTTTTTGTACATTTTTTAGTGTAAATTAATTTGTTCATTTATAAAGAACATTATTTATAAAGAACATTATTGTGATTGTAAATAAAAGATTTAGTTTAAGTAATTTCAACGATTTAGTGTACAAAGCTCATGATAGACGCTTATGGAGAAGCTATGGGTAAGTCGAGACTACTCGGCCACTCGATTTTATGATTTATTTTCTATTATCTTGCGTTTGCTGTATATAGTTGATTAATAATTTATATCACTTCTACACATATCACAAATCATTTTATTATAATAAAACCACTTCTGTGAAATGGTGATTTTGACTTTAAATACTTGAACTAAATATGAATTGATTGTGGGTATAAAATAAAATGTTGTATTATTAAAATTTTGTTTTATTAAAATTAGAAGTTGCGCTTTTACAACCATAGATTGAGAAATTTGGTCGTAGACGACTAAGGGTAGAAATACTACCAAAGGATATAGAGGAATGTTCTATCACTTTAACCTCATTGCAGACCAAAGATCTAGCCAATGAAGACAGAAAAAGTATTCAATTTTAAATCATTTTAGGCTATATTGAGATATATATTATATATATACAAATATCTATGACTAGAGGGTGGGGCGCTGGTTGATAATAAAGCTTCAGTGTGAGACTGTTAGGATGAACTTGATCAAAAGCAAGTATACAAGTGAATATTGTGAATACAAACATGAAGCACAGTTATGTCAGTATTTAAAAAACAATAACGATTGTCTTTGGTGTCATCCTTATATGGCAAAGAAACGTTTTATAAATCTATATTCCACTGAGAAGTTTGATTAGGTTTTTAAAATAGGATAATGTTTTTAGATACATATTTTTAATTTAATAATTAATGTTGGTGGGGAAATATTTATTTTAATTTTTTCACATAATGCGATGATATTTTGTAGACATTTGTGATGATGTTATGTCATTTTTTATACTGGGGTGGGAGATAAGTGCAAGTATTATGGAATACTCGTGTATCTGTACACATATGGTACACACTTAAGCACTTCACTCCAAGATGTTATGTCATAAATTTTACTCTACTTTACTTTACTTTCACAGCTCCTAGTAGTTTGAATGGGGAAGACAAGGGTTAATATTTTAATTCATAAAATTAATGTTTAACTCCTAACTAGCCTAAGATTAGATTCGATTAAGGACTGTCTAACAAGACCATAAGTTCCTGGAGTTAGTCAAGGACTTCGTCAAATCTATGTAGCTCCGGTAAAGATACAGTTAAACTGCGGAGGCACAACACCAAACCAACCCTACTCTATCTCCCAAAAACAACCTTCTCCCGGTCGGCCATGTCCCTCATCCTGCACTTGACCCCCGCAGAGGTCACAAGCCCATCGGAGCACAAATGAGCAAGAAACGGGGAAGCCTTAGCTACCAGGCCAAGGACTGCATCACTAGCAGCGAAATACGGATATACCCTCCCTTTTACATGCGTTCAACCGGCACCTTAACTTTTTAGGATCAACATATCATATCTGATCATGTGTGTCATTGGGATGTCATATAATTTGTCCTTGGTACCGGTACCAGGGTTATTCTCAAACTATTGACTGTCCCACTTTTAAATGTACCCACAGGAAATTGAACTTGCCTGACATGTTAACTTGACCTTTTTTTCTATCTTTTTCTGTGTTTGATTTTAACTATCCCACTTCTTAGGTTGAAAACAGAAATGCTCATATTATTTCGGCAGCTCAGACATCAGAAAAGGCTTTTTTCTACATGGACTGACACCTTTGATAAATATTTGATTGGCGCAGAGCCACCAGTAAAAGACCAACATTCTAAGCTTCTAGCCAAGCGCAACCTTATATACAATATTGAAAGTATGTTTGATTTAATTCACATAGTTTAAAATGTTATGCAATCTGGATTGATTTCTATCCGGGCAATTAAACTTATAGATAATAAATAAGGAAGTTTTATATTTGTTCATTTGAATTATGATAACATGATAACGACAGCATTTGACATCTTCTTAACTTATTTCAGTTCAAGATGTGAAACCTGGTTATGTTTCTGAATACCTATCAAATGCGTAAGTGAATTAATTCGAATTTAGACCTGACTATTTCCATGTTGGGGAAATGAGACCTCCTTAGAATTGCTCAAGACTATTATCATAATGTCCAGCTAGAGGAAGTCAGATAATATTTTCACCATTCTGTAATTACTCCAGTTTAAATATACATAATTTAACTTATTAAAAGGTAGTATGTACTATAAATAATATCAGTTATTGTATTGCAGGGAAAAAGTCCTCCCAGACATCCACGCTGACAATGATATACCTGTTGAACTTTATGGTCAGTTCCACGTTCAGCTGGGTCAGTTGGACAGGATTTATACAATTTGGAGACATTCAGATGGATATAGTGCGGTCGACAAAACACTGCTACAGCTCAATCAAATTAAAGGCTATGGGAAATTTTTGGAAGAACAAGGGAAACTGTTGCGAAAACGAGAACAGCAGCTTTGCTATGAGTTCGCATTCTGGCCCCAGTATGATGATTACTACGATGGTGGAATATTTGAACTGAGATCATACTCCCTTAAGGTATTTTATTTATTTATTTGTTAATTAAATTACTAACATTCGATTAAATGATTAAATCTGGATAAGATTTTTTCAACATGAGACATTTTTAGCAGAGAATCGTTTTGCTGTTTGAACGACTTTCAGTATTTTATTTAATTAATTAATTAATTAATTAAATAAAATATTACAGTTTTGTTCTTTATTTAAACAGATTATTTCAGGCGGGATGTCTGTATGAGTGGGCTAATGCCTGGTCAGAATTCTTTCAGAACTTTTTCTAAATTTGTTTTTATAATCTTACGTAGCTGCTGATATAATGAGTTTGATTTGTTACTTTATTTGAGGTTCTAAATTAGCCCATGAATTCCATATCACAATTAGCCCCAATTAGCCCTAATTAGTCCTAACCATCCTACGTGACAGGTCAAAGGCAGTGAATTTGCGAGAGAAAGATGCAGTGATGGGGCTGTGTTCCCAGATAGGTGATATGTACACAGTTCATCACATCTGGAGGTACACAGACCTAGAACACCGTAAAACTGAGAGAGATATGAGCTGGCAAAGTGGGGAATGGGCGGATCTTGTCATTAAAACCGGTATTGTCTTTATTCTTTATAGTGTTATTTGCCTTGAATTTATAGGTTTTTCAATTAAATTTGCATGGATTCATAACATTATGACACACTAACCCACTAAGAATTTGCAGTTCAAAACTCGGGAAGTAATAGTATCCTCATTGTTCTCTTCTGATCGAATTCACTTATTTTCAGTTCCGATGATAAAGAATCTTCAAGTTAACATCATGCAACCGTCAATCTACTCACCACTTAGGTGAAGGATCTGTATACCTTAGAGTCCTCTTTAGAGTCCTCTTAGAGTCCTCTTTCGAGTCCTCTTAGATTCCTCTTTCGAGTCCTCTTAGAGTCCTTTTTCGAATCCTCTCACTCCTCTTAGAGTCCTCTTTAGAGTCCTCTTAGAGTCCTCTTAGAGTCCTCTGTAGAGTCCTCTCAGAGTCCTTTTTCGAATCCTCTCACTCCTCTTAGAGTCCTCTTTAGAGTCCTCTTAGAGTCCTCTTAGAGTCCTCTTTAGAGTCCTCTGTAGAGTCCTCTTCAAGGGATTTCTGGAACGGAAACTTTCTTCGCTAAACTGACAAATTTTATAGAGAAAACATATATTTTACTTCTTGGAATTGTTTTATGGGTTTTAAAAAGGGTCAACATCAACAGGCGCCGTGCTTTTACAAAAATGATATATTATCATATTCTAGTAAATTATCTACTAAAATGAGACTAATATTTTTAAATTCGACGAAATTTCAGTTTAAGATTTTGAATGAGCTCTGAAATTGTATTTTGTTGTATTAATATTAGAAATGAATGTTTATTATCAATTATCATGGATGATATTTATATAATGATTTATAAATGATTTTAGTTTTACTAATCGAATGGATGATTGGGTGATTGTTAATCAGCGACATTTACTTCCAACCACACTTAGAAAAATTTAAAAAGTTACCAAATTTAATTTACGTTTTCACTTTCAGCTATGTAACACCAGGCCATGAAAACAGCAGCTAGTGAATCAGTAAGTTGATTTTGAGAATTGTTATTATAATGCAAATGGTTATTATAATGGTTGTTGATAATGTAGGAAGGGAAAATTCCATACTCCTGGTAAAATAACTGGGTCTATAAGTATATCGCTGACGTGTTCCGCTCTTTCTTCAAGTGTTAATATCACTTTGTTTTTAATACTTAAAGTATTTAAAATATTTCTCTCGTTAAACACATAATAAGTGTTTGATATTTGTGTGACTAAATTTGTCCGTCATACCATTTTGGGATTCATCATCTTTACTTTATTCCATTGAATCTATCACCTACTTTCTCGGTATTCAAAAAATCAGTAATCCCATCTAATAATAGTGTGCAACTTTACATACCACAGGCCAGGATACCCCCCCCCCCCCCCAAAATAACTAAATAACATTACACAGGCCAGGATACCCCCCCCCCCCCAATAACTAAATAACATTACACAGGCCAGGATACCCCCCCCCCCCCCACCAATAACTAAATAACATTCCACAGGCCAGGATACCCCCCCCCCAATAACTAAATAACATTCCACAGGCCAGGATACCCCCCCCCCCCAATAACTAAATAACATTCCACAGGCCAGGATAACTCCAGAGTTCCTCAAGAAGAACTGTATTCTGCGCATTCCATCACAGACGGGCGAGACAAAGTACGAATGTGTGTTGTGTAAAACTAAAAGGCTCACTGATCTGACCCTGATAACTCATGTGGCGAACCTTAAGCACTCAGAGATTGTCAAGGTTGGTTATAAAATATAATTAGTTATTAATTAGGTATTAAGGGGTCGTTCACATATTACGTGATCACTTTTTGGACAATTTTTAATCTCCCTCCCCCCTCCGTAATCAGTTTTACACGTCATAGCTATTGTGTCAAAAGTACACTAGCGAAACCCCCCTCCTCCCTCGGCTGATTATGTAACATGTGAACGACCCCTAATTAGTAATTAGTAATTAGTAATTAGAGGATTCTTGAGTGGAGCGTGAGACCAGGAAATTGGAAATTGTAACAACTTTAGTGGTGTACTGTATGCTGTTTTATTTGTGGACCATTTGAAAATTCTTAATTATATTATGTAAGATAACGACTAACGTTAAGTTTTTTTGTAAATTTGTTATCTTTCCCGACTTATATAACTGACTTTATACATATTTATGTTATATGTATTAATACGGCATTTCAGAGTTTCAAACAAATATGATATTTACTGTCATTAAAATTGGTGCCTTTAGTTCCTTGAGAACTGACCCCAATATCGTTATAATTTTTCATTGATATGCAGTGTAGTATTACGGAGTTTGATGTAAAGAGCTGAGGAAAAAATGTAACAGAGTCGATATATCTTAATGTTGCCATAGGGTTAAGGGTGGCAAGTCCCCAATTATCGCAGTCCGATAGTTTTACTGCCTCTCAATATAGAAACTCTAATAATTAAGCCCACAGAGACTAACTAACCAATTAACAAACTAACTGACTAATTAACTAACTAACTAACTGACCAATTAACTAACTAACTAACTAACTAACTAACTAACTAACTAACTAACTAACTAACTAACTAACTAACTAACTAACTGACCAACTAACTAACTAACTAAATAACTAACTAACTAACTAACTAACTAACTAAACCCACAGAGACTAACTAACCAATTAACAAACTAACTGACCAATTAACTAACTAACTAACTAACTAACTAACTAACTAACTAACTAACTAACTAACTAACTAACTAAACCCACAGAGACGAGAAGATGGAGCTGACAAATACACAGACACCAAGTACCATGGCCGGTGTTTACAGCATAGCCTAGAGTGCCTCCTAGAAGATAGGTACGTATAGTAACTAGTAACCATGCTGCCTTTAGAAAGGTTTTGTGTGCAGATAGCTATAGGATTCATATCAGTTTGTTAGAATTGCTCTTGTACAGGCAACAAGGTTACCAGGTTAAGGTTTTTTGTACCCATGTAAGTAACTATTATTAATGTTGTTTTTTCTTTCATTATAAATTCTAACACTCATTGGATGGTTGGATACAATTATATTGATTACTAAAGACGTGAAATGTGAATGAATTGTAGTGGTATGTGTCAGTATTATATGTACTACTACAAATTATGATAGTTTCCCACTAAAAGAACCTCCAATTTACTGTAGGTGTGGAGGTGTAGAGGAGTACGAGAAACGAGTTGAAGTTGTCTCAGAGTTAGAGTCTATTTTCCAACACCAAAGCAAGAGTAAGAATTACTTTTTGTTGTATTCTAACTTCAATTTACGTGCATTTGTAAAACATGAAATGTTAAAGTTTGCCCGTACTAACTAACTAACTAACTAACTAACTAACTAACTAACTAACTAACTAACTAACTAACTAACTAACTAACTAACTAACTAACTAACTAACTAACTAACTAACTAACTAACTAACTAACTAACTAACTAACTAACTAACTAACTAACTAACTAACTAACTAACTAACTAACTAACTAACTAACTAACATCTCTCTCCCAGGTTTCCCTGTATTGGAAGGAGTTGCTGTAGAGATATACGGCAGCAGCGCGTTTAATGTCGCCCTTAAGACCAGTGATATCAACTGCTTCCTACGGGTGAAGGAGTACTTACTCTGTGTCAAAACAGTACGATCTTCTTTATCTTTTTAATTTGTTGTTAAAAAACTAAACATTCAATCCAATCAGTAGTTTCGACACCTAGTAACATATTGACCTATTAACCTAGTAACCTAGTAACCTAGTAACCTATTAACCTAGTAACCTAGTAACCTAGTAACTTAGTAACCTAGTAACCTATTAGCTACACATTCCAGGTAACTGAGATAATCACTCAATATGACGAACTCTATGAAACACCCACCATAACCTCCGGTCACAAGTTAGTGAAACATTTTCTAGTTTTATTTATATTATTTTAATTTAATGTCTTATATTAATTATTATTCATTAATTATCATAACATCCTATTCCTTGACCACCCGGGATATTATACACATATTATACACGCTGTTGATTCCTTCCTAAAAATGTGACGCCATATGATTAAAAAATAACTTTGTCATCCACCTTCACTAAATAAAGCTTTATATTTGCGTCATTTGCAATGATAAAGTTTCCTTGATTTGTTGGTTGTAAATTTTACACAAATAATTAGATCTAAAGATAACTAAAGAGTTGTTAAAAACACCAAAAAACAGCTGTAAATAACCGTAAAACTGTAGATAACAGCATGTTAGCAGTTGTAACCAGTCGCAACCCAGTGCACATCACAGTACCCATGCTCCTTATGATGAACATATGTTTTATCCACCGTCTCCACATAGAAGATCCGGGCATGGATATAAAATGCCTGAATTAAAAAGGTCGTTCAAACAATATATACATTCAATTAAATCAAGTGATGCAATTGGCAGAGCACAATACATGATAGGTAACAGAAATGGTCCATTGCTACCAATATTTTTGAACTATAAACAATCCAATATATACATTATACACACAATTTTCAAAACACATGCCTGAACTGCTGGACAGTCATTGGCTCCTCTTCTTACTGTAATAGCTGTGACAACTGGGGCTGCAACGAACCCACATTGTATCATTTCGATAGCTTTACCTGCTTTGGCTGAAGCCCGACCATACCATTTGTAGTTAAGGTGGTCGTGTCGGCTGATACCGGAGCAAGTAAGGGCACAGGGTGGTGGGTGTTGGGCGTGGTCAGGGGTGTCCAGTATTACCAGGCTACTTTGGAGAGTGCAACTCAGCAGGGTTAACGTTAGAAAGTAGCAGAGTGTTCTCATGGTGGGGCGTTTTACAAACGACAACCAGCGATTCAAGAAAGAATGATCTGGCCCACTTTAAATACTGTCTCTTTTTCTAGAAAACTAGACTTACAGTAAACCGTAAATTGGTTTATCTTGGTTTCTTGGTTAGGATTAAAAAAGGGCGTAAATTCAACAACACAATAACCCTATTCTTCTGTCAGTTAGTGGCGCCCAGATGGTCAAGAGAAAGGTCAATTTATTACCTTGATCTAATTTATGCGTTTGCTTTTTGTTAGAACACTTTCATTAGTTAATTAGCGTATTATGGTAACTAAGTTAGCCCTGCTGTACTGTTGACATGAACAATCTAGTGCCTTTCCATGATTTAATAGCAAAAGTTCTCACCTACGCCATACGATCAAAACGTAGTATGATTGTGCAGTACTAGTAAAAAGAAAAACATAAATAATCTTATAAATTCAAGAAAAAGATCGAACATTGTCATAATATCATTTTATTTTCAATGTCTGTACTTAGATTGTAATAATATTAATTTATTCAATGTTAAAATGTAGATCGCTCTCATGTTGCAGTGGTATCCAATAGCTATCTAGTGCACATTGTAAACCACTTTGTAGACCTCTGTTAAAGTCTGTTCTGTCAGTGACATCCAGATGGTCAACTTCAACCTCGATCAAGCTATAATCCTTACATTTGTTATAATCGAACTATATAAATCTGTACACATTTACACATTTACACATTTGACATTTTACACATTTTACACATTTTACACCTCCAGGTTCCCCAGAATTAGGTTCCTGCACAAACAAACCGGTTTCAGTATTCTCATGAGTGTACATTCTCCCAAAAGGTACGAACTGTAACTACCAACTTCAATCTTGATCATCCTCATACAATTATTTTACATCCTCTTTTTATTTATATTAATTTAATGGTAATTACATTGCACCTAAGTTGAGATTTATTTCATCTTTCAATTACGTTGTTATTTTCAGTGAAAATTTCACCACCCTGATGAATCACCTGCTTGCTTGTGACGAGAAAGCGTTGCAACTGGCGAGACTTATGAAGATACACTGTGAGGAGATGAATTTAACGGTTTACACATAATTTACACATAATTTATACATACTTACACATAATTTACACATAATTTACACATAATTACACATTTAACATACACATAATTACATGTATCAGCAATTTTTCATGGTAATCGGAGATTTCCAAGGAAGGGGTAGTTATAGTCGCAGTTAAAATCATGACCGTTAAAATGTGGCGGTACTTCAGGCATCCCCCCATAGTTTTAACGATCAATATTTCTAACGGTCACAATTTACCCAGCCATAATATTACCAATTCCTCAGAATATAAAGTATGAAACCCGACCCCGCTGTTCTAGTTATAACAGTGTTGCAAAGATGTACAATGTATACTAATCTTACTTTCATGTATTAGTAGAATTGAATAATTATTCAGTAGTAAACATGATGTAACATAATGTATTAGTAGAATTGCATAATTATTCAGTCGTAAAAATTATGCAACATTGTGCTCAAATTGAAACATGTGTCATTTTGGGAATAAGAGAAACATCAGAGGTCGGGATGACCAAGATAAAATCTTTTTAACCTGGATAGAAATATTTTTGGATTTTGTTTGGATTTTTGTTAGAAACATTTGCGGATGTTTTGAGAGAGTTATGTTCTTGTGGAGCGGAAGTTTTTCTTTTGATTAAACATGGCTTGATACTGTTATTTTAATTTTGAATTTAACAGTTGTACTAGTATACGGGACTACAATTGTTACATTGTGTGTCTGTTAAATTATGACGTCCTGTAAAAAAATCCCTGTTAATAAATTCACATGTTGCCAGTGTTTAACCAGGTCTGTAATTGCTCCACTGTTGTTGTTTCTCCTCACAATATGTTTACCACTCTGCTGTTCCTCACCATACTTTACTTCTGACAGTGTAGAATCAGCTATGTTTGGCTCTATATATGATATTATTCTATATCAATGTCTACATAAACCATGAAGTGACACTTTCATGATTTTGTTATGAGTTATGACATAGATAAGTTACACTGACAATATGTTAATTCTGACAGTGTACTCCCCCCCAGGACGGAACGTTTGCTAACCACGTGTTCTACATCATGACAGTGTACTTTGCTCAGCATACCAAACCTCCTCTCCTTCCTAAATTCGTTAAAGACTACGATCATCTCATGTGAGTATAGTGACTGGACAGTAGTCAGGTGACTACTAGTCAAGTGACTAGTCAAGTGGTTGGCTCTGTCTGTTTGTTTGTCTCAACTTGTGTGAGTTTAGTGACTAGTCAAGTGAATAGTCAGTAGCCAAGTGGTTGGCTCTGTCTGTTTGTTTGTCTCAAATTGTGTGAGTATAGTGACTAGTCAAGTGACTAGTCAGTAGTCAAGTGGTTGGCTCTGTCTGTTTGTTTGTCTCAGCTTGTGTGTTTGTATGCGTGTTCGTTATAACGTTTATCTCTGTCTATTTGTGTATATGTTGTGTGTTTCTTGTGTGTATGTCTGTCTCCAAACTCTCCATCCATGTTTTTCATTTTGAAGTGGTTAATTATAGAAATAAGTTAACTGTCATTGTCACATACACTCTGACATATTATACATTATACATTATACATTATACATTATACATTATACATTATACATTATACATTATACATTATACATTATACATTATACATTATATATTATACATTATACATTATACATTATACATTATACATTATACATTATACATTATACATTATACATTATACATTATACATTATACATTATACATTGCCACACTGAAACACATAGTTAAACTTCTGAGTATATCGTGGTAATGTTCAACATGCAGGCCATGAACGTGATTCTTAGATAGTTTGAGATTTGTACCGTTTTTAATCAAATCATACTCAAAATCAACACGAGTGTATAGCAATTGTGTCGAAGTGTACTGGAAAGGGAGGAGATATGTTATGATGTACTAATTAATTCAGGAGCAAATCTGAAGAAGATAGATGCAACAGAGAGGAGAGATTGCAGAGAAGAGAAAAAGAAAAATTAAAACTGCAAGAACAACAGAAAAAAGAGATAAATAAGGAGAAAAACAAACGTTCATCTCAAGATATAGCTATTGAAAACTTTGCTGCAGCTGCGGTGAAGGACTCACTCAAGCTTAGCCTGATACAGATATCTATTGAAGATGGTGTAAGTAATCTAAAAGTTAGATCTGCGTGTGTAATGGAAATAATCGTACCAACCCGAAATGAGCTATCGATACAATGAAGGCTACAGTAATATATTTAAAGTCCGTGCCAATGTTTGTAGTAGTGCTGGTTCAATGGCGACTGCCTGATATTATGACACGCACACATATCACTCTGACTTTCGTTAAACCATTCACCACAAACCACGTGGAGGTCACGTGGAGGTCACGTGGAGGACACGTTGGTCACGTGTTAAAGGGTATTAAGAGCACGATAAATCCTGTTAAAGTTGAACGTGGGACCAAAACAATGTTTGGTGGTGGAATACTTAAAATTTATGTTTAGTTATAAATGTTTATAGAAATATGTTTGTAGAAATTAATCAATAAATTAATAACAGGTGAGCATCACTGCTGAGGAGATAGAGAGAATAATGAAAGAAGCCAGGGTAGATAGTATCTTCCCGGAAATAACCATAGAGAACGACCCCTGGAATGCTGGCGGAGTGGTGTGTGATGCTGGAGAGAGCGCCTGGAATGGAGATGTCTCCTGCCATAACAGCCACACTCAGCCAAGGTTTAACGCTAATTTATTTCAAATTTATCCAGTAAACTGTGCTATAATTTATCAATCCTGTTCCTTAGAATTTTAACTCATCCAAGGTTTAACGTTAATTCTCGTTATAATCATTCTGGTAATTACCCAGTTCATTAAACAAAACTGTAGTCATAATTAAGACTTATGATTGTCATCCTTTTTAAAGAAACATCTTTCAGTTCTTCAGCTGCAACTGAGGGAGGAGCAGCAGTGGAACAAGAAATTATACCATCTCTTGAAGCTCTGTCTCTTGAACCAGCAGAACATCAGGAAAAGGGGAAACAGCCCCCAGTTGTAGAAAAGAAAGAACGGTATTCCAATAAAGAAGAAAAAGGAGTTGATTGGAATGGTGTTGAAGAACAAACTAAGATAAAGTTATCCAAGTGGGGTGATCAATACATGGATGGTATCAGAGCTGAGGTTAGTTTCCTTAGTTGTTAGTTAACAAGGTTTTGAACTGGATTGTTAACTCGTCAAGTTCTTTAAAGTTCGTTCTCCTTCTTTTGAAATATAGTTAGAAGACGTTTAATGCTTATGTTATTTTCTGGGATGACTAGTTTAAACTCTGCTGAGTATAAGTTTTATCTTAAAAGCAATGTTATTTAATTTCAATTTATTATTATTATTCACAGTGCTACAGTTGGGAATCAGTAAACGACAAGGAGCTCCACAGCCTGTTTCAAGAAATGGTCCGCTTCTTCGCAAAGTTCAGTTTTGAAAACAGTACCATCAGTATATGTCGGTCATCTGATGATACTGAACATAACAAGTACTCTTTTGTTGAAGGTAATATTTGAGAGTGTGCATCTTGATTAGATTATTTGAACTGTATAACGTATTTCCATTTCATAAACTCTAGCAATTTCGTCATGATGTAAGCAGTTCAGCGCCTTGAAACGTAATCACATGCTGTCAATTAATTTTTTAAACCCGTTTCATGTCATTGGTATTGTTATGTCAGCTATTCTATTTGTGACTGACTGCAATGACTGCATGTTTCAGATCCATTTCAACCTGGTACATCCCTGTACAACATACCACAGAGTGGTAAAAGCAAGAAGAACAAGAAAGTTGGCAGAAATCGCATATACCATGATAGTAAGTAGCTCCATGTTTGTGACATTGGCAATTTAATTGGGTGTTGAACATACTTTTTTGGAGACGCGATAGTTTGTTTGTAGGGTTTGTTGCGCATGGACGTGATTATTGGAACTGAACGCGCGGGGATATGCGCGTTTTTATTGTGAGACGTGATCAACTCAACGATCGGCTGGCAGTTTGCCTTCTGATCTCAGCTACTTTTAAATTTGATCTCTAATTCCTTAGTTTTTCAATCTTATGAAAATAAAATGGGATATCTATACCTGAAATATTGTAGTTGAAATGTGCCTCAGTATATAATTTGTTGGCCTCTGAAGTCAGAGTTGAGACGTTGCCGGTTGCCTTCTCCATAGGATCTATACTAATAATCTCAAGATGTGTGATTGTGTGTTCGTTCGGACGTTCGCGTGTAATTTCCGAACGGTACGAGTTACGGGGCTATTTTTTTCGGTATAGTGCCGACAAACTCTGACCGAGCCAAATGATTAAGGTTTTTCTAAATCGGCCGGTGATAAGTGGTTTAATTGATAATTTTGTGACCCAAATGTGATAATACGGCTACCGGACAACTGAACCCAATTTGGACTTTTCCTAGACAGGGTAGCTTGGGAAAATAATTATAAACCCAATCAGACTACCTAATTAACTTTGAAACGACAACTGAACCCAATCGTCACTAGAAATCACTAACAGTTTAACAGGTTCCCATATACCGTTCTAGTTTAGCTGCTGCCTTGTTTCTAGTGCTATAATTTCGGAGACAATATTTCATTAATGTTAATTTTAATAGGTAATTGTAAATATATAATAATTATTACTTAAAATCTCACACAAAGTCATCATAATATTTCAGCTTAAGCAGTAACATCGTGTCCAAAGCACTTAGCAATGGCAAAAAGATAATCAAAAACTGTATAAAAACTGTATAAAAACTGTCAAACTTAGAACATATATCATATAACTCAAGGTTCGAGCTCGTGTTCCTCCGTCTCTTGGAGGGAGTGACTCCAACAGCGAGACGATCGATATGAAAATCGGTTGTCACCTGCTGCTCACGAATAGCCCTGAAATACTCCTGAACAGTGGGCTTGGCCCGAGGAACCCTTGACCTGAAACCACGGTGGAAACCTTCCACCATGTTACTGGTCCGGGGATTTTCAGGATCTACCATAATGGTGCAGAAGTGGTTCATGGTCCATGGTCAAGGAATACATGAGCAGGACATTTCTTGATTCTGTACTTCTGGCATCTCCAAGTAGAGGTAGTTAAGTAGGGGTATCTCGATCCTTTCTCCGGGTGTAGAGGAAACCGTCTGTGTCCAGAAGTAGTTGAGCTCCTCTTTGTCCGCTGATGTACTTGCTGAAGACAGCCATGATTCGATACTGTGACCACCATCTCTCTTCCTTATGTATTGATCCGATCTGTATAACAAGCGTACTAATAGATGGCAAGGTCTCAGGTGCCTTTCGATCGCGAGATCTGATCTAAGTAGAAGAGATGTGTGTGATGCAGGCCACTCCAACGACTAGGAGGAGACCTCTTCAATCTTCATGTATGTATTAATATTTTACCGGGGTAAGCACAGGGCTCCAATGCTCTAAATTACAGTGGTCATGATCTATGCTAGATAGTGATAATGACCACTCACCACAGTCCCTTGTGAAGAAGGAGAACCTGAAAATCAGATCGTTGGGTTCAGTTGTCGTATTTCCTTGGGTTCCGTTGTCGAATTTCCAATTTGGGTGCAGTTGTGATATGACCTGGGTTCAGTTGTCGTTTTGGGATTTAAGCTGATTGGTCACCCAATTTGGTGCCTGTTAACTGCGTGGGAACTAGGTTCAATTGGGTTCAGTTGTCTTGGGTAATTTGTCAGGGGACCTCAAGATTGCCTTTCAAATATTACTATTAGATACGTAAGGGGCACTCAGAATTTAATTGCGGACTGTTTCTACTGTTTCTACTGAGCGACTTCATACTTTCGCATTCTTAACTACGAAAATGAAATGCATGTTTTCGAATATAATAGGCGGGTTTATACAGGGCCAAAAGTCAGTACCCATACGTTAGCCTTAATAGCTCAGTCACTGAGTGCCCAATTGAAATACTTCTTTCTGGTATGACTTAGTACCACCAGGCACCACTGGTTCGAGGAATTTGACAACTCGACAAATTGTCGTGTTAATTTTTTTCTAATGGAGGTTAATTTTCGTATTTATTTGATAGTTTGGATAGTCGGATCGAGCTAAATGTTATTAAATTGTGTTTGGCCATTCGGATTACGTTTGCCCTGAAAAAAATAGAGTTGTAGCTTCTCAGATGACTGAGATACGAAGCATAACGAGTTTTTTCATTATGTGTGATTTTCAACTTGATGCAAGGGCTGGCATCAAGTCAGTTGAGACTTTCATCAGTGCTGCCAGGCTACGTTGGTATGGACATGTAGTTAGAATGCCAGACTCTAGACTACCGAGGTTTCTGTTGAACTGGAAGCCAAACTATGGAAAGAGGTCAAGGGGCAGACCCCGTAAGAACTGGAAGTCCTGCGTACTCGAAGATGCTGCTAAGTTTACAGGTGTTGAAAACATCGACAACGACACAACAGAAGCTTTGGCTACCAACCGAGTACAGTGGAGACATATGTTACGCCGCCAACGCGATGTGTGTGATGCAGGCCACTCCAACGACTAGGAGGAGACCTTACCATGTAACATGTATGTATGTGATCAAGTGATTGGCTTACCTAATCACGTGATAAGGTGACCCCGTTATATTAACCACCCCTTAAACATTATGGGAATCGTTAAGGCTGCCCAATCAATGTGTCGTGTCACGGTGTCACACAATCACCCAATCAATTTTGCTAACGAGATACACAAAATGCTTGATAACTTCGTCATTTCTAATCCATTTTACGTCCAGCATCTTCAGAAAGAACAATATAGGTGTTTTAATATTGAATAGGCGTGGTCTAAAATATTCGAATTTTAAAATTTTGGCGACGGAATCCTCGAACAAGTAACGTACGGGTACTGACTTTTGGCCCACCCTGTACTTTTGTATTTCATCTGCGATAGTGAAGTCCCGGCCGTAGGCACGAGTTACCCGGTTACACTAGTGTCTACATAATCATGGTTCCATCAATGCACAACGTCTATGCCATACATATTTAATTACTATTTGCCTGAAACATTATAATTAGCAGCTGCAGTGTTTACTCCACCACTTATCTTATCACTATTATAATATATAAGTTTCACAAACACTGACAAGAATTACTAGTTCAACGTTCATTGATTGGGGAGTTCACCAGAAGTAAACGACCTACAAATTTACAATAATCATAGAAAAATATAAGCAATCACACCGGACTCACGTCAATCACCGTTAGTTATCATCAGCTCATCTCGCTGTTAAACCTTCCCCAATCTCAGTGACCCGACATGTTAAGGCAGTATATGAGATCTTGAGACACTATTACGAGGGACCTCACAAGGCTGAGCTGTGTCTCGCCTCCCCTGGATACGAAAACGGCAGACAACCTCCTTACTCACCATTCGAATTCGCTATCAGGTCAGTTATTCTGTTTTGTGATGAACTTTTACGATTTTAAACGACAATGAGCGAACAGTTTTTCTCCAATATCATCAATTCCTTTAGTACTATAGTACGTTTTTAAAACAAGCATTTACATTTTTCTATAACTGATAACATAAGTGTGCGAATTTTAAACTTGACTGATGTATTACAAATTAATCATTCTGATAAAAAATAATCTCGCTATCAGATCAGTTATTCAGTTTTCTCGTGTTTCGTGATAAGGTTTCTTGTGTCCAAACGATTACATTTGTTAGTCAATTGGGATCAGTAAACAGTCTTGCTTCCATATCAACACTGCTAACATAATCTCGTGAATTTTAAATTGTACTGATCACATTAAAAGTTACTCCTTCTGTCTAACAATCTCGAACAAAATATGAGATAAAATTGTTGATTAGGGTTAAATTGTTACCATGCATACAATTTACCAAACGTAAACGTTTGGCTGATTTTTAGTGAATTCTTGTCAATTTTGAATTTTGCCAATGATATATAATCGACTTTTGTTTGATAAACTGCGAACTCATTTTGCGGGACTGCCGGACTGGTTAAGATTGGTCCGCGGACTGGTGCACGGACTAGATCACGTGCTTTCTGGATAGGGCCTAAGTGGATCTTCTGACATGTCAACTATGGCCGTTTGAAATTCCTAATTAAATTGTTTACTACAATTAAATTTGAAATGTGACACTGGGCGCAGGCGATATTATTATTATCTGTAAATCTGAATTATCCTAATTATCCTAATTAGCCGTGTTAGTACTTAGTACTTACCGTATGATGATGTTCAATGTAAGCTCTGAATGGAACGCATTTGGCTGCAATCTGCATTTAGCCTGGGTTTCCAAATGATTCTTTAATCATGAATAGTTGCGTACTTGAAGTTTAATTTTTGATTCAAGTAATACGTTTTGCTGATTAAATGGTATCAGATGTGGTATTGTCTGAGAAAATATCCAGCCTGAGTCAATACCGACACTGTTTCGGTTTTAAGGATAGACGGTACTAAAACATGATATCTCACCGGGAATTAATCCGCCAGTAATCAGCAGTCCTCATTGATTGGCATTAATATAGCTTGCTGGAATGGTGTTTTCATGTTTCGATAAGCGAGTCTCAGCAGTTTATATTAGCAGAATCACTGCCACTGCGGACCACGGTACTAAACAGTAAACATATAACTTGCCACGTTCCGGTGTTTCAAATACCATTCACTGTCGTGCAATGTCCGATCTGAGTGTTTCAAATACCATTCACTGTCGTGCAATGTCCGATCTGAGTGTTTCAAATACCAGTCACTGTCGTGCAATGTCCGATCTGAGTGTTTCAAATACCAGTCACTGTCGTGTAATGTCCGATCTGAGTGTTTCAAATACCATTCACTGTCGCGTAATATCCGATCTGAGTGTTTCAAATACCAGTCACTGTCGTGTAATGTCCGATCTGAGTGTTTCAAATACCAGTCACTGTCGTGTAATGTCCGATCTGAGTGTTTCAAATACCATTCACTGTCGCGTAATATCCGATCTGAGTGTTTCAAATACCAGTCACTGTCGTGTAATGTCCGATCTGAGTGTTTCAAATACCAGTCACTGTCGTGTAATGTCCGATCTGAGTGTTTCAAATACCAGTCACTGTCGTGTAATGTCTGATCTGAGTGTTTCAAATACCATTCACTGTCGCGTAATGTCCGATCTGATTTCCCGAACCCGACTGTTGTTTAGCTGATAGTTGCTGCTGCTGTCCAGATATGGGAAACTATCGTGCAAACCGTGTTCTTTTTTCCTGGTTCTTACCCTTATACTGTATTGGTACTTCCTTTTAAAGGATAACTGTTAATTTTCTTTCACTTGCAACTATTTTTGACGAATTTGTTGAGCAATTCCACGTGTTTTGATGATTTAAAAGTATTTGAATTTGACAAAGTGAGTAGTTGTTCAAGTATATCACCTGTTCAAGCCAGTAGATTATGTTATTCGAGGTGCCTGGCTCACCTCCGAGCTGTTGGAAGTTGCTGGCCCTGTCCTACAAACTCCAAGAAATGAACTGCGACCCTCAGCAATATTTCCAGCTCTGTACCAACTACAAGAAAGATCAGTAAGTAGACCCGTGATACGTCCAGAGAGAGAGATTCTTTGGGAATTTCTTGTGGGGTTACCCAAAGTTCACACTCATTATATGCGGTCTAAGATCAAGATTTGTCGAGTCGTATTGTTCTTCTCTAGTTCGCCATAAAACCAATAAATAACTCCTTTATAATTTAAACAAGAAATGCGGCCACTATTCTTTTGTGGATGGCCGCTCAATTTCCTGATCCATGATGGCGTCTTTATCATATTCCATACAACCTGGGGACCACATGCTTCAGTATTTATAGGCAATTTCGTAAATTAGTGCCTTGTGGGATACGTACATACAACATGCTGAAATTGACGCTTTACTTGATCAGTTCAGCGCCGCGAACCAACAATTCAGAATATCGCGCAAAATACCTTTGCGAAGTTAGGAACGTGTGCGACATCTGTGCGTGGGCACGATCGTACGACGGATGCAAGCTACCATATACAAAAAGGAAATCGTTCGCTAACCCTTGTCCTTGAATCTTTTGTGCCTTCGTAACTTGAATCATGGATCGGGAAAAAAATCATTGATCATAGATCCTTTACCTTGAATATGATTTCTTAAATAATATAAGATCATATCTTCAGATACGAGATCCCTCCACCGTTCTCCGACGACCACAGGCAGCCCCCGCAGGAGAAGCTCCCAGGGATAGAGAAAGTAACTGAAGGAGCTGTCAATGCACTAGACAGGATAGTGGATAAGGTATGATAATATGTTGAGGAGATATGGTGTTTGAAGCGCATATTCTATGAGAATTATTGTATACATTTTGATGAACATGCTAAAATTTCTTCCGTTTTGTATTATTTCTTTGTTTTTTCCTTTCACCATGTTCACATATTATACTACCTTTACATTTGAACAACACTCGAGAATTGTGTCTGATGTGACTGTCACTCCCAGATTACTGAAAAGTACAAGTTGTCCGACCAAGACAACAGAGCGAGAGAACAAACGTTCAGCGAGCTGGGAGACTTGGTGAGGAGACAAGTTAACCCGAGTATCCGCCCTCTTTGGTTCGGGTCCTCCAGAAACGGACTAGTACTTAACACCTCCGGTTAGTTACTTCGTAAGAGTTCTGAACAAAAACAACAACAAAAAAGAGTTATAGAAACGGATTTGTAATTAACGTTTTGAGTTTTTCACATTATTTTTTGTTTTGATAACCAATAATATGATTGTTGATTTCAGATATGGATATCACATTGGACGTTACCAAACTAGGACCAGTTGATCCAACTCATATTCTTAGTGAACTCGCTAAACAAGTTAGTCTCTTTTCACAGCTTACTAATTAATATAATAATTAATTAGTAATATGATAGTAGGGGGGGGGGGGGGTCCAAGGGGAACTTTGGGGAACTTTGGGAAAGTCCCCCAAGATTTCTGAAGTTCCCCAAAAAAAAGTTCCCCAAAACTCCCCAAAATTCCCCAAAATTATTCAAAATTATTTAAAATTATTCAAAATTATTCAAAATTATTCAAAATTATTCAAAATTTCTCTAATATACATTAATACCCATTAATGTTAACATGTATGTTATTATAAGGTATAATCTTAACTTACTTGTTGATACTTGCAGCATGATAATTTGTTTGGCATTATAATTTTTTTGGGGAACTTTGGGGAACTTTGGGGAATTTTGGGGAACTTTCTGAAGTTCCCCGAAAAAAAGTTCCCCAAAATTCCCCAAAATTATTTGTTTCATTGATAATTTTTTGGGGAACTTTGGGAAAGTCCCCCAGGTTTCCTGAAGTTCCCCAAAACTCCCCAAAGTTCCCCTTGGACCCCCCCCCCCCCCCCAATAGTAATATAATAGTAATATAATAGTAATATAATAGTAATATAATAGTAATATAACTCATATTCTTAGTGAACTCGCCAAACAAGTTAGTCCTTCACTTTTCACAGCTTGACTCCTTTTTCTATCATCACACTATACATTCCATTAACATCTACAATCAACACAGTGTATTTTAATGCTTATTAATATAATAATAATATACATCAATATTAATTATATACAACTAATATATCAATATAATAATTAATATAACAAGAGTTTTACACCGCACAGATAAAAAAGAACAAGTTGTTTATCCTGGATGAGGTTATCTTGGCTGCTAGAGTACCGATTGTTAAGTTCCGACGGACAGACAATGATCTAACAGGAGACATCGCGGTGGGGAACATGCTCGCCATCGCTAACACACGCCTTATCAAGGCCTACACTGAGATTGATGAACGAGTACCCAGACTTGGTTAGTACTCTCCTTAATTTTAGTTAGTGTCTTAATCAGTGCTTATATATAATAGCTAGGGTCCTGGTCTGATAAGCAGGTTTCATCTATGGTAGTTTGTTAAATTATTATCGCTGAAATACCAGCTGTGGTAATAAAACAAGTTAATGTGCTTTGCGAATGGCTGATTTTCAGAAGACGGTGGCTCGATAAAAATTAGAGGATAATCAAATCATAATGGAGCTTCGTTATAAAATAATTTACTAACCGGCTGGCTGATTTTCTGAAGACGGTGGCTTAATAAAAATCAGCTGATTATGAGAAAGGGCTGTCCTCACAACAAAAATAGGAATTAAATTACCTGTGCTTTTTTCTCGTTTGTGCTCATTTTACTCCTCACTGGTAAGGTCCCTAAGGTTAATAATCGGCTGATAATCTGATGATAAGGGAGCGGCGTGATAAAATAATTTACTCTACGGCCGGCTGGTGTTGAAGTGATGTTCACCTTTGTTCACCTTTGCTTCATCAACGCCCTTTGTATTTTGAATATTAGATATAAAAAGGGCAGTGATTTATTAATTTGTCAGTGATTTATTCATTTGTTACCAAACCTACTTGCTGCCAACATGATGAGACTGCTGATAGTGATGTTAGTTCTGGTTCCTGTGGTGCTGGGAGATATCGTGATTCTGAACACGCCTGATGGGGTCTACCACCCTGCTCCCTGTGCTCGGACATGCTCCCGCGTAGATGGATGGGACGGCTGGAGTGATTCTTCGTATTTACCTGGGAAGGTGTATAACTATGTGCAGATAGCTAACTGTGGTTTCGTGTCTGCTCCTGTAGTCATTGTCTCTACTAAAGGTGAGCGTGCGAGTGATAGTAATCGCATAGTGTGCCCCTCTGTATCCGTCACGGACCTTTCAAAATCATATTTTACTGTGTACTCGGTAGAGGACACAACAGCTACCAAAGTGATGACCAGCCAGTGTGACGTTCACTGGATAGCTACCGGATACACATGCTAAACTATCCGGGACTTAATGCAACATTTTGGAATCCCTTGAATCAATTTGTATCATATTTGTATTATATTTAATCGATTTTTGAGTAACATACAAATTTATTTTCGTTTATTTCTTGTCTTCATAATTTAGTTTAGGAGAATAGGTAATTAAATAAACTCGGTGCTTCAAACTCGTACTTAGAACTCAATCTAGAAATAAAATTATCATCGTCAAACCTTAGGCTTAAAGCAATTTAAAACTCCAAATCAGTCCCTAAATGTACTCTTAACCAGATATACCTCACAATAACTATCACGTGACACGTGTTCATTCACAACAGATCATAGCAGATTACTAATTGATTACTAATTGGTTAGCAGATTACTAATTGGTTTCCTGCATCAGGTACAGCCCGCTTCCCAGGGTCACATCAAATACCGAGCAGGTCCACTTTGAACGGATTTAAATTAGAGATTCATATGTTATCACCAATGTAGTTATTGATTGTATGACAGTTAGACACTCTTATACAGCTTATAAATAAAGTGAAGATTGTGACAGTTTTTAAGTTTAACAGAGCTAAAACAAATTAACTTGGCCATCTGCTATATTTTTGGCTTACTCAATATCTGAGATATCTCGCGCCAAATTTTGAGGTTTAGCTGTAATTACATGTTAAACTAGAACTTTAAACAGCTCTAATTTGTTTGACCTTCTAAATTCCTTAGTTGAGAAAACCAGTCACTCCCTGATCCTGAGGTTTAGTACAGTGGTTCCTTGGACAATTATTCATAAATCTGATTGATCGATTTTCTTTATTTGACTTGGTTCTCGAATTATGAGGTTAACCATGTCAGAAATTCGAAAAATTTAAATCAAATTTTAAACATTCGATATCCTTTGTGCGAAAAAGTGGTCTGAAATAGGTTGATCTTCATCAGTAAGAATGGTTCGTTCCATGGTTCATTACTAGCTATTAATAACGAGCTAATTATAGTCAATAAAATAGGTTAATCACATAAACTATCCCCATTCCCCAATTAAATCATCTGTATACAATAAATATGAAACTTTTTGGGGTTTCAACAATTAAATTTAAACAAAACATGAATTAATGGTGACTGTGCGGAGAATTTAGTACGTGAAACCAGAGACTGACTATACTAGTAAACATCGCACGTGCCGTTATTAACCCTTGTGATTTTATTCACCTCTACTGCGTACAAAGTAAACGCTGCTTTGTTGTTGAATTGGACAGAGATTTATTATCATAATTGGACAGAGATTGGAGGCACATATTATTATTGGATCCCTAGTATTTGAGGTAAAAATGGGGTAGGCACGAAATTGCAGCCAATTATACGGTGACCCTCGGCCTCGTAACCACTTCTCCACATCCCCAGTTTTCTTAATTTTGAATTGGTGGGTTTCTTCGAGACGTGTACAGAATTGTCTTAATTAAGAAAGAAGAGCTAATTCAAAATAAATAGGTGATGAACATCGATATCATGGAGTAATGCAGTGTCGATCTTCTCAAATTAAGTTTTGTAAGTAGCTGCATCTCTCCATCTTGAATCTTTATCCTCAATACTTGTGCAGTTTTTCTTTCCCGAATAGTTTTAAATACTATTCAGTATTTACCATTTATTATCATAAGTACAAGGAATCAGACGTCAGTGTACCGATATTAATAAATAATACCATTACAATATTTAGAAAAATATAACTATAAATAATGATAAACAAACATTAATCTATTAGCAATCAGATAGTCGATATAGTCCTCAATCCCAACATCAATTCTCATCATAAATTGGTAAAGGGAAATTTGGATGGGAAAAATTACTATAATTCATCAGTACAAAATCTGCTTCAAATATCCGGTACATTTTATCAATAAGTTTATCATCTTGCTGGGACAGCCACTCCTTGGCAAGAAGAGCAGAGGATTGCAGTCTAGGATCACTAGCTTGATCATAGGAACCTGAAATCTTCATTGATGTGTTTATTTTCTGTCCTATAAGTTGGTTAAGAACACCACTGTACTCGAGGGGCACAAGGTAATCGTACCTCGCTGCAGGAATGCACAGTGCAAGGTGTTGCGGAGTAAAATGGATGTTATTTAGATTTTCTGGGAGCCACCGCAAAAACTGATTAAATGTAGGGTTTATTCGATCACTATCAGTGATATTGTCTCTCTTGTTCATGACAGAAGCTATTTTACGAGCTAAATGTCTGAAAGGTTCCGAGCTCGGTTGCGGTCGTTTCTCGCCAGACAATTTATCCCTGAATCCTGAGACGAGCCGTGTCCAGGGATTACGAACTACAGCAAAGGCGAAAACATCACCAGTAATACTTGCTAGATTAGCTTGCTTTGCAACACCACTAGAACTCAACCGAAATGAATCGAAATCGTTGTCATGGACTCTATCAACGTTCTTTAACGTGACATTCAAAGCACCTTCTGCTCTCAGCAGGAATTCAATCCAATTTGAGCATCCAGATTTGGGGATTCCAGTAAAAATGGTCTTTATTTTAGGGTAATAATAAGTTTGTCGTGGCTGCCTACATTCCCATTTGTAAGGCGGACTGTGAGGCGTATCTCCCAATAAGGACATGGTCCGGTTAATCTGCTTTTTAATCCACTCTTGGGTAGGAGGATGTAGGTATATCTCACTGTCACTGTCACTGTCACTGTCACTGTCACTGTCACTGTCACTGTCACTGTCACTGTCACTGTCACTGTCACTGTCACTGTCACTGTCACTGTCACTGTCCTCTACTGAGGAATTCCTGGAACCATTATTTCTTCCTAATACATCGCCTTGTATCTTGATCGAGGCAACAGTGATAGGATGTGGGCTAGGGGTTGCATAGTAAGCCTCTGTAAGTTCCCGACTAATTGCAACTTGAGGGGTGGTTCTTTGAAGAATGTTCGGATTGAAGAAAACAACAGTGAGTAGAAAGATAACAGTCCATATAATGAGGATTCTGAACCACTTGTTGCATGTTCGTACAAGTACAAGGTCTTCCGTCATCTGCAACCAGGTTTGAACCTGAACAAAATGCATCCCTAGAACATATCCTGAAAGTTTGAGGGTGATAACTCAAAAAATGTAGGAGGAGATAGATTTTTAGATTCGATTTTCAGGGCACGCGATTTGAGAACCCCATTAGGACGAATTTACGAATTTTTGGAAAACTGCCAAAAATCAACCAAATTATGAGTTAGAATCAAATGAGAGGCAAGAATGAAATTTGTAACGTTTATGAACTGATAGCAATTCACCTTTCAAAATTTGCTCCTTCATAAAAAAATATATCGATTTTTACATTCTACACACTATTTTCAACTTACCCTGTATTAGGATTTAAAATTCTGCTGAGATTAATTCTGAACAAGACTACTAAAGAAATAATCCCGATAACACTCGACCTCTGCCTGATCCAGAGGATATTACCATTTTACCTTCACACAGACATCGAACGCTGTAAGAAGATGACGATCAGACCTCATTAAGACTGGAGTAAGCTAACAATAGTGTTTTAAGCGAGACGGGAGTCCTAGCTTGATCATAGCACACTTCCACATGCGATTAAACGGTTATTTGTAATTAATATAAATGGTAATTTGTATCTATTAAAAGCGCTGCCAACAATCTCGCAGTTAGTGATAATAGTCCCTGGATAAAGATATTTACAGAGAAATAAGGGCATGTTATATTTATTAAGCTAATTAGTGATATGCTTCTGATGTTTGCGAAAGAATTGTAGTGGAAAATAGTTTGGTTTGGTGCAAAAAAAAAAGCACGTGTATATTGAACACGGTCAATGCGCTAAGTTGCGTTTCAATTCTCTTTAAAAAATAAATTGATGTCGAGGTAACTCGGTAATCTGCCGATGCACATCTGGGGCACACCTGGGGCACAAACTCGGGCACACCTCAGGCACACCTCGGGCACACCTGGGGCACAAAGCACACCTCGGGCACACCTCGGGCAGAACCACCTGGGGCACATCTCGGGCACATCTCGGGCAAAATTCGGGCATGGTAATTGGGAAACCTTGGGAAAAGAACCTGGGCACATCTCGGGCACACCTCGGGCACACCTCGGGCAGAACCACCTCGGGCACACCTGGGGCACATCTCAGGCACACCTGGGGCACATCTCGGGCACATCTCGGGCAAAACCACCTGGGGCGCGGTCATTCGGGCAATATGAATTATTATTTATTACTATGATGATAGATATCATTATTTATATTACTTATATTGGTGACAGTATTAAACTATATGTATGAGCAATATAATTTTCAGGGACACAATTTTATTATTAAAAATAATAAAATTGCCCTTTATTAACGAGCAATTGAAAAATACGATTGATCTGTATTTATGTATCTAATAAATTTAATAGGTAAGCAATATTATATTATTAAAGTATCAATCGGAACATCTCATAACCATAAGCACAGTTTTGACTCATATAACATCCTACACCACCCTCCACCAATCACTCTGATCTCACCGGCAACCTTCCCCAAGGTTGCCACACCCCAGAGGTAGGCAGAGCATCTCAATGCTATCCTCTCGTGGGCTATCATGGCCCAGCCTCTCTAAAAAAAAAAAAAAAAAAAAATCTCATAACCATTAAAAACTATAAGTATTACTGTAACTACAAAATAAATCAGTATATCCTCTTGGGAGGGAGTGCTTCTCCTGAAGCGTGGAGTGTGCGAAGCACAGTTTGGTTCCGGTTGCAGATATCCCTGGCCACTGGTAGAAGGTTTTTAAGCGTGGGATTTATCAGCTGGAGGAGTCCATGTCAGTACAAAATCTGCTTCAAAAATCCGGTACATTTTATCAATAAGTTTATCATCTTGCTGGGACAGCCACTCCTTGGCAAAAAGAGCAGAGGATTGCAGTCTAGGATCACTAGCTTGATCATAGGAACCTGAAATCTTCATTGATGTGTTTATTTTCTGTCCTATAAGTTGGTTAAGAACACCACTGTACTCGAGGGGCACAAGGTAATCGTACCTCGCTGCAGGAATGCACAGTGCAAGGTGTTGTGGAGTAAAATGGATGTTATTTAGATTTTCTGAAGGCCACCGCAAAAACTGATTAAATGTAGGGTTTATTCGATCACTATCAGTGATATTGTCTCTCTTGTTCATGACAGAAGCTATTTTACGAGCTAAACGTCTGAAAGGTTCCGGGCTCGGTTGCGGTCGTTTCTCGCCAGACAGTTTATCCCTGAATCCTGAGACGAGCCGTGTCCAGGGATTACGAACTACAGCAAAGGCGAAAACATCACCAGTAATACTTGCTAGATTAGCTTGCTTTGCAACACCACTAGAACTCAACCGAAATGAATCGAAATCGTTGTCATGGACTCTATCAACGTTCTTTAACGTGACATTCAAAGCACCTTCTGCTCTCAGCAGGAATTCAATCCAATTTGAGCATCCAGATTTGGGGATTCCAGTAAAAATGGTCTTTATTTTAGGGTAATAATAAGTTTGTCGTGGCTGCCTACATTCCCATTTGTAAGGCGGACTGTGAGGCGTATCTCCCAATAAGGACATGGTCCGGTTAATCTGCTTTTTAATCCACTCTTGGGTAGGAGGATGTAGGTATATCTCACTGTCACTGTCACTGTCACTGTCACTGTCACTGTCCTCTACTGAGGAATTCCTGGAACCATTATTTCTTCCTAATACATCGCCTTGTATCTTGATCGAGGCAACAGTGATAGGATTTGGGCTAGGGGTTGCATAGTAAGCCTCTGTAAGTTCCCGACTAATTGCAACTTGAGGGGTGGTTCTTTGAGGAATGTTCGGATTGAAGAAAACAACAGCGAGTAGAAAGATAACAGTCCATATAATGAGGATTCTGAACCACTTGTTGCATGTTCGTACAAGTACAAGGTCTTCCGTCATCTGCAACCAGGTTTGAACCTGAACAAAATGCATCCCTAGAACATATCCTGAAAGTTTGAGGGTGATAACTCAAAAAATGTAGGAGGAGATAGATTTTTAGATTCGATTTTCAGGGCACGCGATTTGAGAACCCCATTAGGACGAATTTACGAATTTTTGGAAAACTGCCAAAAATCAACCAAATTATGAGTTAGAATCAAATGAGAGGCAAGAATGAAATTTGTAACGTTTATGAACTGATAGCAATTCACCTTTCAAAATTTGCTCCTTCATAAAAAAATATATCGATTTTTACATTCTACACACTATTTTCAACTTACCCTGTATTAGGATTTAAAATTCTGCTGAGATTAATTCTGAACAAGACTACTAAAGAAATAATCCCGATAACACTCGACCTCTGCCTGATCCAGAGGATATTACCATTTTACCTTCACACAGACATCGAACGCTGTAAGAAGATGACGATCAGACCTCATTAAGACTGGAGTAAGCTAACAATAGTGTTTTAAGCGAGACGGGAGTCCTAGCTTGATCATAGCACACTTCCACATGCGATTAAACGGTTATTTGTAATTAATATAAATGGTAATTTGTATCTATTAAAAGCGCTGCCAACAATCTCGCAGTTAGTGATAATAGTCCCTGGATAAAGATATTTACAGAGAAATAAGGGCATGTTATATTTATTAAGCTAATTAGTGATACGCTTCTGATGTTTGCGAAAGAATTGTAGTGGAAAATAGTTTGGTTTGGTGCAAAAAAAAAAGCACGTGTATATTGAACACGGTCAATGCGCTAAGTTGCGTTTCAATTCTCTTTAAAAAATAAATTGATGTCGAAAATAATATTAACTCTGCTCACTATTATTATTATACAAGACGATAATCAATTTACTACGTTAATTTAATTAAGTTTTATTTTCACTACTAAACTTAAACTTGTTAGGCTGTTACTTCACTACAATATAATATAGACAGTCAATTTAGTAGAACGCAAGTTATAAGAAACTCTTTAAATTCACGAAATAAATGAGTGTATAGATGAGTACATAGACTGTCAGCAATAAACGCAGTACATACAAACAAAGAGAAGCTTTACTGAAACAGAATACTTCAATGTTGATAACCTTAGTACTTTTCTTAATGAAAACGAACACAGAATGAACATAAACGCTTAACGCATGGCAAATGAAATGTGATAGAGATATAATTACACATAGTATGTGCATTGTGCGGTGACTTTTATTTATTATGGAATCATTAAGAATTAAGATTATACAATTCTATTATCTTTATCAGTTCACAATGGACAAATAGTAGTATGAAAATATCAAAATTATGCATTTCTATACCGGTTCAGACATTAAGGACCACATAAGGAATATTATCGATAAATTCAAAATTTCTCATATTAACTACAATATGAAGACAAGAAAAACGAAAATTAATTTGTCTGTTACTCAAAAATCAGTTAATTCTGAGAAACATTAATTCAAGGGATTCCAAAATGTTGCATAAGGTCCCGGATAGTTTAGCATGTGTATCCGGTAGCTATCGAGTGAACGTCACACTCGCTGTTCTTCACTTTGGTAGCTGTTATGTTCTCTACTGAGTATACATAAAAGCTTGATTTGATAGGGAAATAGACGAAGAGCGAGGGACACCCACCATACTTTCGACCTCTGCTCGTAACTGTGATGACAGGAGTGGACACGAAATTACAGTCAGCCATGTATAAAACCTTGTACACCTTCCCAGGAAAGTTGCCAGAATTTTCCCATTGCCATACCGAGTCGTTCCATCGTCCTACACCAAAGCAACTTCGAGCACAATTAGCAGGTCCATCCCCACCCTCAGCTGTGTCCAGAATCTTGATATCTCCTAGCAGGGCTGGTACTAGAGCCACAGTTAACATCAGCAGTTTCATCATGTTGGAGAAGCAGTAGACAAATCTTCCAAGTGCGAATCACATGAATCACTTTAACATGGACAAGCGGGTTTTTTGATGTTCTCAACAGTCTGGTTGAGGTAAAGCTTAGCTCGAAGAATTGGATCTACTCACGTGTAAATCTGAAACAAAACATACTCATAGTGATGTGACAAATAATCACCTAGATTTAAAGGAGCCAAAAATTGAGAGATTTTCCTTAAATATCTCAGCCAACTCAGCAGCAGATTTTGAGGTTTCGTGTCCACTCTTTTAGGAAAGTAACGCCCTTGTGTCCTACGCCCTCGTGTCCTCCGCTCTTGCGTCTACCGCCCTTGTGTCCTACGCCCTAAGTGTCCTGTACCCTTTTTTAGAAGCTGTATGTATTCAGTATATATTATATTTAATTGATAACACTCCGTTTTGCAGGTCTGCTGGTGAAAGCGGTGGTAAAGAATTGTGAGTGTGCTGACGCGAGTACTGGTAGTTTGTCTTCATACGCCTATACCATGATGGTCATCTATTTCCTACAACAGGTTCCTATACTAATTAACCAATTAACCAATTAACTAATTAACTAATTAATTTACTGATTAACTAACTAATTAACTAATTAACATACTAACCAACTAACCAACTATCCAACTAACTAACTAACTAATCAAATAACCAACCAACCAACCCACCAAATTACTAACTAACTAACCAACTAACTAACTAACTAACTAACTAACTAACTAACTAACTAACTAAATAATTAACCAATTAACTAAATAATTAACTAACTAATCAATTAATTAATTTACTAACTAACTGACTAATTAACCAACTAACTAACTAACTAACCAACCAAATATCTAACTAACTAACTAAATAATTAACTCACTAATTAACTAACAAACTAAATAATTAACTAACTAATCAACTAATTAATTTACTAGCTTACTGACTAACTGACTAACTGACTAACTGACTAATTGACTAACTGACTAACTGACTCACTGACTAACTGACTAACTGACTAACTGACTAACTGACTAACTGACTAACTGACTAACTGACTAACTGACTAACTGACTAACTGACTAACTGACTAACTGACTAACTGAAAAACTAACTAAATAATTAACTAACTAATCAACTAATTAATTTACTAATTAACTAACTAACTAACTTACTAACTAACTAACTAACTAACTAACTAACTAACTAACTGACAAACTAACTGACAAACTAACTGACTAACTAACTAACGAACTAACTAACTAACTAACTAGCTAAATAACTAACTAACTAACTATACCGTGATAGTCATCTACTTCCTACAACAGGTCCCTATGTCAAGTAGCCTATAGTAGTAGAAACACATATTTAAGTTTTAAAATTTGAAATTTGGCGTTCGTCAACTGTAAAATTCCTTATCGTTTGCTTTATGAATACCTAAACAAAAGCAGAACGATAGGGTCACTAACTGCTGATACCCTAGCTAAGTAGCTAGATGGCACGTTAGCACGGAACGCGACACGCAATCGATTATGATAGGGTGTTATACCTTAGGGCCAACAAATTTGGATCACAATAAATTTGGTTACTATAATTTTGGTTACCATAATTTTGGGCACAAATTTCGCAAATTTTTAGTCTACAACAATTTTAGTCGCATTTTTTGACTTTTTGAGACCATTTTCCATTCCATTTATTTGATTTTTCCATTATTAAGCTAGTTTTTTTTTTCAATTTCGCAGAATGTATGTCGAAGTTCATGATGAAATCGGAAATTGTAACGACTCTGCACAACTCAAGGTACAAATCTGTATAGAAACGTAGAAAGTAACAAAAGACGGGGAGTTAACTAAGTACAGAGCAGACAACGCAACACATGTATCAGAAATTTCCCATGGGCCCACATGCAAACCGCGCGCCAAACGGTCACGTGGAAAAATTATCAACCTCGTGATCCTGTAACTTACACCATAAGCCCGTATTTTGGTAAGGATTATATTCTCGATCTGGGAACATTTTAACGGGTGATACTCGTAAAATATCTGTCCAACTCGGCGCGCGTCCTGGTAGGTTGTAAACCTACAAGGAACATTCCAACGGTGAACGGCGAGCCAACATTACATACATTAGTTACATATCATAGCATAACATTTCTTATTACACGCAGTAGGGACCTGTGTTCAGTTAACAATGTTTAACTGTTTATCATAAACATTAAACATATGATAAAGAATGTAAGCTCAATAAAATTTAATTCATATGTATGCTCTACTGAAATTTTGGTATACTTCAAAATTAGTCGCCAAAAAATTTAGTCACATGAAATTTGGTTTACAACAATTTTAGTCAAAAGTTTGACTAAATTTATGTTGGACTAAATTTGTCGTTCTTAATTAAGGAAGGGTCTAGCTAAAACCAAAAACCCCACCTCGTACTGCAGTCTGTCTGCAGTATGTCACATACGGAGTACGTGTCGTCTAACTATCACGTCAGACCATATCACTTGTCATGTTGACACGTGACATATAATAGTAATATTATTATTTTGGAGTGGGACGAGAAATCACCTTATGATGTGATTATTATATTTACAGTTACTGTTGTAGCTTGAGATTTGAAATTTGTATTCCTTTTATTCCTTTTATTCCTTTTATTCCTTGTATTCCTTGTATTCCTTGTATTCCTTGTATTCCTTGTATTCCTTGTATTCCTTGTATTCCTGGTTGACTATTACCTGTTATTTCAGCTGGACCCACCAGTTATCCCCGTGCTACAAGAGATCAACAGACCACGTGATCTGACGGTATACGAAGAGGAAGGATGGGACACGTACTTCTACTCTGACGTCCACCAGCAGACGAGTGATTGGCCCTGTGAGAATGTGGACTCTGTTGCTCTGCTCGCTCTCAAGTTCTTCAAGTTTTATTACGAGGTTTGGAGCTGTCTTCTTTTTAGAAGTTGTGTGGAAAAATGTTATGAATTTGCGAATTTGAGAATGTTTGGCGCCTGCTTTTGCTGAAAACTAAAAATCAAATTATAGTTTACAAACCAAAGGTCGACCGAGGGATGATTTTTGACCGAGGACTCGATCGAAACTGCATCATAAGCATCGAACTGTCTATCATAAGCATCAAACTTTTGTAAACCACTGACAAATTTGTGGTTTACGAGCACTATTCTTGTTATGAAGTGACATAACATTATTACCCTGCATAATTAATCTGCATAATTAATCTGCATAATTAATCCTCATAATTAATCTGCATAATTAATCTGCATAAATAATGTGTATAATTAATATGCATAATTAATCTGCATAATTAACCTGACATTTTACTTCAAGGAGTTTGACTACAGTAAGAACGTGATCGCCCCCAAACAGAAAGCTCATCTTCTGTGTACTGATAAGAACTGGTTCCGTCCAATTAATATTGAGGATCCTTTCAATCTCGATCACAACTTAGGAAAACAGGTATACAGATTTTAACTTTTACTTAAGTGAATTTACTATAAATATTCGAAATTATTTATTAACTGACTAACTGACTAGCTAATTAACTGACTAACTAACTAACTAACTGAATGACTAACTAACTAACTAACTAACTAACTAACTAACTAACTAACTAACTAACTAACTAACTAACTAACTAACTAACTAACTAACTAACCAATCCCCTAGGTGAGCGCCAAGACATTCGACGTGATAAAGACTGTATTCAGGCAGGCGTATCTCCGATACTCTGTAGGTCCACTAGATAGAACAGACCACACTCTCAGGTACTACATGGAGAAATCTTTCCTGCTGGATGGCAAGAAGCCCCCTGTTAACTTCATATGTTTCGGGTGTGGCAGCCGAGATCACTACATATCTGAGTGTCCTAACAAGAATAGGTGCTCACATTGTAATGAACCTGGTGAGTGCAGTTAATTGAGCAATAAGTTGAGTAGTTAATTGAGCAATAAGTTGAGTAGTTAATTAAGCAATAAGTTGAGTAGTTAATTAAGCAATAAGTTGAGTAGTTAATTGAGCAATAAGTTGAGTAGTGAATTAAGCAATAAGTTGAGTAGTTAATTGAGCAATAAGTTGAGTAGTTAATTGAGCAATAAGTTGAGCAGTTAATTGAGCAATAAGTTGAGTAGTTAATTGAGCAATACGTTGAGTAGTTAATTGAGCAATAAGTTGAGTAGTTAATTGAGCAATAAGTTGAGTAGTTAATTAAGCAATAAGTTGAGTAGTTAATTGAGCAATAAGTTGAGCAGTTAATTGAGAAATAAGTTGAGTAGTTAATTGAGCAATAAGTTGAGTAGTTAATTGAGCAATAAGGTGAGTAGTTAATTGAGCAATAAGTTGAGTAGTGAATTGAGCAATAAGTTGAGTAGTTAATTGCGCAATAAGTTGAGTAGTTAATTGAGCAATAAGTTGAGTAGTTAATTGAGCAATAAGTTGAGTAGTTAATTGAGCAATAAGTTGAGTAGTTAATTGAGCAATAAGTTGAGTAGTTAATTGAGCAATAAGTTGAGTAGTGAATTAAGCAATAAGTTTAGTAGTGAATTGAGCAATAAGTTGAGTAGTTAATTGCGCAATAAGTTGAGTAGTGAATTGAGCAATAAGTTGAGTAGTTAATTGAGCAATAAGTTGAGTAATTGATTGAGATACCGAGATCAGTATCGTGTTTGTTGATGTAACTACGTACGTCGTACAATGTGACCGTTAATTTGCTTGGCACGTTTTCTTTACCTAATACTTTTTAATTTAATAATACTTTTACTTTCAATTCTCTTTTCCTATTTCCTCCAAATAATATGTTCCTCGTTTCCTACTCACTAACCAACTATAATTACTCTGATTAAATAGCTAGATAACCAACTATAATTACAGATCACAGTAAAAGCAGTTGTCCTAAAATTGAATGTTTCCACTGCAAGGGTTACGGTCACATTGGTAAAAGTTGTCCCAACAAAAAGCACGGTAACCATGGCAACTCGCCTTACAAAAGAATAAGTCCCGACAAGAATCCTAGTATGAATACAGGTACTAACATTTTCTTAAAAACGGGATATGATCCTGTTTATGTACTGTTTTAAAGTTCAATAAAGCCAGAAGCTTTGCCTGATCTATCAGTTTAAGTACAGATGCACATTGCATTGCTAAATAAAATTAGCATATTGTGTTATAATTGTTGACCTACATTAATCCAGCCCTTGTTGAGTCACACATTGCAGCAATACATCCAAAATTCTCTTTACTCCAAACTTCCCCCGTCGTTCACATACTAAATTCTTTAAATTGACATCCATTTACAGACTATTACGATCGGAAGAACTGGATAGGACAAGCCATGAAACCTGCGGATGTACAGATTGGTAAATCAGCGCCACCCCACTTCAAACAACACCCTAAATCTCCTGCCGTGCACAGAGTCATCAACCACGACTACAGATTCAATGGTCAGCATTTTATGTCGGCTTACCTATTAATTAGCTGACTGTGACATTTGGTAGGGCTCCCCATGTGATCTATGAGAAAGTAAGATTTGATTTTCAGATGTTCACTGAGAGTTGTGAAATGTACAATATCCCCCCCCCCCCCACATCCCCCCCCCCCCCATTCCCCCACATCCCCTCCCCTATTCCCCCCACATCCCCCTCCCCCCATCCCCCCACATCCCCTCCCCCTATTCCCCCCACATCCCCCCCTATTCCCCCCCACATCCCCCCCTATTCCCCCCACATCCCCTCCCCCTATTCCCCCCACATCCCCTCCCCCTATTCCCCCCACATCCCCCCTATTCCCCCCACATCCCCTCCCCCTATTCCCCCCACATCCCCCCCTATTCCCCCCACATCCCCCCTATTCCCCCCACATCCCTCCCCCTATTCCCCCCACATCCCCTCCCCCTATTCCCCCCACATCCCCCCCTATTCCCCCCACATCCCTCCCCCTATTCCCCCCACATCCCCTCCCCTATTCCCCCACATCCCCTCCCCTATTCCCCCCACATCCCCTCCCCCTATTCCCCCCACATCCCCTCCCCTATTCCCCCACATCCCCTCCCCTATTCTCCCCACATCCCCCCCTATTCCCCCCACATCCCCTCCCCTATTCCCCCCACATCCCCCCATATTCCCCCCACATCCCCTCCCCTATTCCCCCCACATCCCCCCTATTCCCCCCACATCCCCTCCCCTATTCCCCCCACATCCCCCCTATTCCCCCCACATCCCCCCTATTCCCCCCACATCCCCCCCTATTCCCCCCCACATCCCCTCCCCTATTCCCCCCACATCCCCCCTATTCCCCCCACATCCCCTCCCCTATTCCCCCCACATCCCCCCCCTATTCCCCCTTCCCTCCCCCCCTATTCCCTCTCACACCCCCCCCCCTATTCCCCCCACATCCCCTCCCCCATTCCCCCCACATCCCCTCCCCCATTCCCCCCCATCCCCTCCCCTATTCCCCCCCATCCCCTCCCCTATTCCCCCCACATCCCCCCCTATTCCCCCCACAATCCCCTCCCCTATTCCCCCCACATCCCCTCCCCCATTCCCCCCACATCCCCCCCCCCTATTCCCCCCACATCCCCTCCCCTATTCTCCCCACATCCCCCCCCTATTCCCCCACATCCCCTCCCCTATTCCCCCCACATCCCCCCCCTATTCCCCCACATCCCCTCCCCTATTCCCCCACATCCCCCCCCCCCCTATTCCCTCTCACATCCCCCCCTACTCCCCCCACATCCCTCCTCAATTACAACCACCACAGGTGATCAGAAGGAAGGGGGTCGCAGAGCTCCGCGGAGTATGAGCGAGAGTTCAGAGGTTGTTCCGAGCTCCAGGAAGAATAACAAAAAGAAGAAGAGAACAAGTTCGGAGACAAAAGAGAGGGCTGATAGTCTGTCAGAGAATACAGGACTCTTCTTGGGCGACCAGGACTTTGTGCCTCTCAAGCAGTGGTATGTTAACTTCCTTATTTGGGTATCACGTGGTATGTTAACTTCCTTATTTGGGTATCACGTGGTATGTTAACTTCCTTATTTGGGCATAAGGAAGTCACGCGGGCTGGATTCCATACAATATACATAGCTATCAGGTTTATTAGTATTACGTCACCTGATAGCCATATACGGGCGATTCCGCGGAAAGGTTAATCAGTGACGAAAAAAACAAATCTAATGAATAAGTTCCCTCCCTATCAATTATAATAATTTCAATTAACTATTGTGGGTGATTAATGTTTTAATTATTATTATCTCACTCAAAAATTATGAAAAGTAGAGTTGTAATTTTTGTTGCAACATAAGCAGAAAGACTTAAGCATCATTTAGAAAGAAAAAAGTTGTTTCCCTGCTTTGTTCGGATTTTACGCAAGAGTCCTATTAAACCAATATTTTGTGGAAAGTGTAATGTACACTACGTGGAATCGCCCATATTGTATGGTAAAACTGTGCTGATCAAACTAGTTGACACCTAAGTTATCAAGTGACATGAAGATGGTCACATGTAATAATGTTAAAGTGTTTAGTAGGGAGCTCTCGACAGGCAAAGTAAAACAAGGTAAATAACTTGGTTAAAATTAAAAAACCTACTAAACACTACAACGTTAAAAACTCACGCTCGGCCTTACAAGTGCTTTAATAACACCTAAACCTCACATAAACCTCACTTAAACCTCACTTTAAACCTCACTTAAACCTCACTTAAAACATCACTTTAAACCTCAGGGCCGAGCATTCAGCTCGTTTACGGTAAGGACATGTTCTGCTGAACTTGATTCTATTATTTGTGCCTGTTCAATTGTTGCATTTCCTGGTGGCACCTGTCTTGAAATGTGTTTTTTCAAAGCAATGACTGACACTAATTCAGTGGCGTAACGTTGGCGAATGTTGGCCCAAATCCCTCCCGCCCACAGCGCCCCCTAAAGTCCCCCTCCGGCCTACAACGCCCCCTAAAGTCCCTCCCACAGTGCAATCTAAAGTGCCTTCCCATCGCACGGCGGGGCCCTTCGTAGCGCCACTGGACACCGTGTCATGTATTTATTTAGAAAAGAAAAAAACTTAAATTACTTTGTATGTGCTCATACTACTGAATATGCATACATTTTTTGTCAAGAATATTTTTTCTCGAAAAAAATGTTTTCTGTAAAGTGTCCATAAACTCTCAAATCCAAACCAATGTATGTGGGTATTGACTGTAGAGTAGAAGGCATTCACTTTTTAGAGTTAATAGCAAACTTGCACAGATGACAGCATGAATTATTTCAACGGTTATTTAATTTTATAGGCATAAAATAAGTTATGGGATAGTTCACTTTACAGATAAGATACCACTGATTAATTATACGCTAATGCTGAACAATTATTTGAGACCCATCAGTTTTACTTTTTTTTTTCCAGCAACTTACTTAATAATTTCCTTTTTTAATTTTCACTCTCCCTCGCCAAATTTTTCCCTTTATTTTAAAAGATCAAAAGAAACTGTTTTTTTGCATATCAAGTGTCAGGAAATAACTTTCGATATTCTCAGGTCAGACCCTGTAATGGAACCGGAGAACAAAACTAAAAGCAATGAGGTCAAGGTTCTGCATGTTAAGACTAAAGATGTTAAAGAGAATAAGAAACAGGGAGCTAGTAGTGTGGAGAACAATCCTCAAGACAAGGTAAGAGTAGGAAGAGATTTTAAGAGATTTTAAGAGATTTTAAAGGATTTTAAGAGTGGGAACATACTTTATACTTTTTCATACCTATGTCCTTCTTTATCAACCCTGTTACTTACTTGATACATCCCAAAAATAGACTGTATTCGTGGGGCAACTCTTTTTGTGCTTTGACAAGAATCTTGATTTTTTGTCGGTTTTTCTGCCGTGTCACGTGAGACAATGTCAGAATAATAATGTACCTATTGTTCAATGTTGGCGAGTGTGTACCACTTCATTTTCAGCTAAAACAGTCTACTCACATGACGTTTATGGGAGGAAGCGTTACAACACCCATACCCCAACATGCCAAGGTAAGTCAAACTGGGCAAATAGGCGGCTAATAGCCCTCTAACAGCCGGCTAATAGCCCTCTAACAGCCAGCTAATAGCCCTCTAACAGCCGGCTAACAGCCCTCTAAAAACACCCATACCCCAACATGCCAAGGTAAGTCAAACTGGGCAAATAGGCGGCTAATAGCCCTCTAACAACACCCATACCCCAACATGCCAAGGTAAGTTAAACTGGGCAAATAGGCGGCTAATAGCCCTCTAACAGCCGGCTAATAGCCCTCTAACAGCCGGCTAATAGCCCTCTAACAGCCAGCTAATAGCCCTCTAATAGCCGGCTAATAGCCCTCTAATAGCCGGTCGGCATTGTACCTATTTGCCGGATTTTAGCTGCTCACACTATTAATGAAGCTTTTAAAATATAAAGTGGGCCTGGTCGGGAGGCTGTTATTATTTGCCGGTTCTACTCACAATAACATGAACAGCTTTAATAATTGTTGCATTTAAACTTGCCCATTTGCCTGTTTCCTAATATTTGGTTCCCAGGAAGATTCCAGGCAGAAGAAGAGTAAGAGCATGGTAAGAAAGGACATGTTTGGAGACCAGAAGCCTAAAGCATCAGCAGTAAACACCAGCAATAAGAAGCAGAATGTGAAGACGTCTAAAGTAAAGGCTCCATCAGCACCAGGAACCGGAAAGAAGGCTACTAAGACAGAGCTGTGGGAGGATACTGGTATGAAGCTTACCATGTTCATGTGTTGTGTTCATTGTTCATCAGCTTATTATTATATTTATACCATGGTGATAGTTAAACAGAGCTTGTTTTGAGTTTTAGTAAGGATACTGCTTACACATTAAGAAGATTTTACTGTTAACATACTGGTTAAAGAGAAGTATTTTAAGAAGATTGTATCGATATGTGAGTGTGACAGTCTATTATAATTCTAAGAGGGAGGATGACGAGTTAATTAACTAATTACTAATCAGGTTATTGCTAATTTCTCCCGTGCAGGAGTAGAGATAGAGGGCAGTAGGTACGGACCCAAGAGGGAAGATGATGAGTACGCTGGGGATCTGGCGCCAGACTTCTTCTCAACTCCCGCCAATTACATACATGAACCTGTGAGTCTAGTTTATGTTATAGTATAGTATCTACTATATATGTTTACAATAAATTGTTCATGTTATAGGGTCTCAATATAATGGTTTCTTAACACGGCTCAACGTTTCTGTACATATACGCTAGCTTCTCTAGCTCTTAACTTGTAAGATATTTGACTCTCAAAATGTTAGTTTAACTGGTATCTACCAGTTCCAGTTGACTCGAATATTTGGTTTTAACGATTGGCAATCTTGATTTTATCCCGTTAATTATGTTACCCTCAGGACCCGAACAATTTGAGCGAGTGGGGTGACCTAACACCCTCATTGGAAGCTGATTCTGTGCTGGGCGCCTCCCTCCAGAAGGAGATCGGACAGCCTGATTGGATAGGGTGAGTACCTTTTTACAAATTTTTAGCCTCTTTATGACAAGCAGTTTCACCTGTTAAGAAGGTCTCCCTCTTCTCCAAAAAAGCATAAAGACTAATTGAAACTACCAATAGTATAAAAAACTGTAATACCTTGAAACATTTTTGCAAATACATAATATGGATTTATTAGAATGCTGGCATAAAACTTTGCAAAATGTTGCTCATAAAAATAATATCTTACCTAGCTTATTGCAATATTCTGAGCCGACCAATACTTCAAACTGATAAGTATTTACTTATGTATCTACTCCTTCGAGTTCATTCTCAAGCCTTGTTAGAAACCCAGCCAGGGCCCCTTGAATGTCTTTAACCTGCTCTACTGCCCTGGTGATGTTCTGTCGCTTCTCTTCTGATTCCATACAATCGAGATTATCTCCAAACCATTCCATCGCTTCATACACTTCGTGCTGGCATTCATCAAGGTCATTGTGCCAGTCCTCGACTGCTTCGTGTCTATTTAAATCTATGTTCAACCTTTTGATTATTTTATCCAATACGGCTTTGTTGAGCTTTTGAACCTTGTTAGAATTCTTAGAATCGTTGCCCCACAATCCGAGGTACCGCCGGGATTCCAGGAACCGCCGTTGAGATTGACACTCTAATGTTTCAATGAGCTCCTCAACTTTCATGTCAAGATCATTGCAAACGATATCCCGTATTTCCAGCACCTCCTCCATACCTGAATCAGCTGATTCCCGCAACCTCTTGTACCGCTTCCTGTCTACAAAGTGGATGGGGTTATCAAGATGGCGCTGTGCGTGGGCGGATTGCTCGACCAGTGCGACTTCATGTGCTCTACACGTGTTAAGTATAAATGTCTTCGACGCTTCTGGTAGTTGGACTATTCGTAGTTTTATCGGAAGAAACATGGAGGGCATGTGTCTGTTTCCATCCTTCTCCCACTTATCTTCCAGATATGACTTAAACTCTCTTGCTTTGTCCTTGTCTACACATTGGATCAGTTCCCAGACAGGCCTTAATTCAAAATCAAAGGGGTATTCATTCGTACTGTCAATGGTTTTAGCCCACTCTCGGGCGATGTCAGTTGCTGTTGAAACTTCAGATTGTTCCTCAGCACCAGTTGCCCCAACTTTGAACCAAAGGTCAGTTTGCCCGCCCTGAGCTCTCCACTCGTGTCTAACCTTCGCCATTTTATTGGAGGAACCACGCCCACTTTCAAAGGAAGCTGTAGCATCCAGACTCGCACCAAGACACTCCTTACCAAACGCACTTTGGAGCTCCGCGGTTATCTTAGACTCATTGTCCTCTTCGGTTGCCTCCATCACATAGGTTCTCTTCACCATACCACCCAGTTGCAGTTTAATGGCATAAAACACCCCGATCCTACTCTCTATGTCCTCCACACTGAGATCCTTAACAGAAGTCTTGAAATCCTCAGTAAGATGATCCTGTGGATGAGTCCTGAAGCTCCCTCGGGTAGTTATACATGTTTTGGTACACACCCCGATGGCATCAACTCTAACCGTGTGGTACTTGGACTCCCCCGTCGTCTCCACCGCCATGCTGGCTGCCCCGGAGAAGGCTTTAAAGTGAGCTCCAACCTTCATGCTATCTGCTGCATGATGCGAGGCCGTGTAGTTGCTGTCAGAGTATTGGAGTTTCATGTCTACAGTTTCGTTTGTGGAGACGGAAATGTGTTCATCGCCCTCTATCTCGAATATTTGGTTGCCTTTTGCGAGGTGGGTGGGCGAGTATGAGTCAACGGTGTATGCGTAACATAGTTGACATACCATTGACTCCGCGAGATCTGAGTTCTTCATAGTGCTGGGAGATTGGAAAGTTGGTAAACATTTTAATAATCTCTAGATCTTAGCAAAAGCGTGAGAGGGCGCCAAAAATGATCATAATATTGTAGTGATAGGAGATAATTACATTAGTTACGATGATAATCACTTTGAATTAGTTACGATGATTAATTAATGCAGTGTGATTGATTATGTCTCAACGAAAAATACAAATCAAGTATATTATCAAATAGCATGAATTTCTAAAATTCTCTTCATGCAGCTCATTTGGTTCCTTGTGATAAGAATTAAAAGTACAAATAATGTAGGCAAAAAATCAAGGGACCACATTAACATTATCAAACATCAGCAAACCATATTATATATAACATTAGCAAACCATATAACATTATCACACTGTATCAAATTACGTTAATAAATTGTGATTCTGAATATTCGTATGATTAGCATGGTTCGAATTCACCGACGCATAATATAATATCTTATCATGCAGTTACATGACTAGCGGTTTTTGTTTTTAAAATGAAGTGCATTATTGATTCAATAAAACTCAACGTTATTTTACATGTTCATCAGATAGCCAGTTTATATTACTAGTCTTTATCATGCAATACCACTGCCAGTTGTTTCTTGACGACATCTCTAAATTAAATCCAAATATTAGAGGGGGGAGTGAAGAATCCAGTACTGGCTGTTTCATAATGAAGATTAACGCAGGGAAAGTATGTCGCAAAATATGCTTGCAATAGGATTTAACGTCAACGCGATTGCAATCTGACTTCAGACACAAAATATCTCATTACGCCCGTCTTCAAATGTATGCAAGCAAAGCACAATAATTTATATCGCTTTAACTCACAAATGCCATTTGTATTGCTTACCTGTGCCAAGTTTTATTCAGATCTAACCTCTAGCTCAAGAACAAAACTCTAGAAAATATGCAGAAAATATGCAAAAAATATGCAGAAAATATGCAGATCTTCTAAAGACAGCCTTAAAATACCGAGTTATTTCTTATCATTACCTGCGAAAAATGTGGCTTTAAAGCAGTCTGCGTTAAGATTTACCAAATAATCCATACGAAGGCTGTGCTCCAAGCTTAGTACACGATTTTTATTTAAAATACATTCAGCATACATACTGCGCTGAGGCATGTTGATGCCGTAATCAAAATTCAGTTCGGATCTAAATGGTAAAAAGTGAATATACGGTTGAAAACGGATCTTACTTTGCATTTACATCCAGGAAAAGTTTTAAAACTTAAAGAATCTTATATCAAATCAAGGGCTCGATGGTGCTGTACGAGTGTCGAATAAGTATCAAAATGTTGAAAGTTGTTAGTGAATGTTAGATACAAATAATAACTATTGACTGAGATGACGTGACATGATGTACGCATTATTTACATGAAAATGAACACAGCGGCCAGCGCAAAATTGGAAGTGACCTGAAACAAAACCACTCACAGATCGACGGCGCGCAGAGTTGTTCAAGTTCTGCACGCCTAAAATGAAAGCATGATTGTCACGTGCACCACACTCACTTTACTTAAAATAATTTATTTAAAACAATTACTGATACAACTACATAGTAGGGAAAATTGATCGTGCGTGGTGTTGGGTAGTTGGGTGTAACTGTGACGAAATTCTAGTTTAATTAACTCTCGTGTGTCCATGTATTGCCATTAGCAAAACATCGTACTAAAATACTCCTGTTTAAAACTTATCGCGTTCAATAAACGTGACCGTGACACGTGACAATGACATATTTGCTCCAATAAAGTTTCAAGATAATCTAGATCTACCAATGATAACACAGTAAATAACTCGGAATGGCTGTCACTTCAGCATAATCGGGGATAACTCTAAGTTTAAAACTCTTGCAAAGTTATTATCATAAGTTATTAGGGACTTATGAATATTTTATGGACATTGATAAAGTGATAAGTTGTGGCAATATAAAAGTGAACACTCAGATGCGACAACTGACAACATGATGTCACTTTAGGTATAATTTTAAATATGTAGTTTTTCTAACTTCTACTAAATTTCAGTTATCTGAGCAGCAGTCCAGAGAAGCCAATAATAAAGCCTCAATCTCGCTACACCGATCAACCCCGTCCACCACCGCCGCCGCCCCAACAACAGTCCTACATGGAGCAGGTTCCCTTCCACTCTCCTCCCAAGAACATGGCCTCTAAACAGCTACTTGACCAACTCCACAACAGTCCCCACAAGGGGGCCGGTCAAAGGAGGGACGAGGGTGATCACAGTGCCAAATCAGGGGGCAAACACCGGAACAAGCAGAGCTCTGGATACCAGGACCCTTATCTGGTGAACAACAACAAGCGGAAAAATAACCGCAGTGATAATGTCGTATCAGAGGAAAGGTATCGGGATCACCATCAGGACAGTCGGCAGCACAGGAATGATCACCATCGGCGCGAGGAGCCACGAGATGGGAATTACCGTGATCCTGGGTATCAGAGCAGTCCGAGGAAGAATTACCGTGATGAAATGCGGGGTGGTTACAATTACCACGACGATCCACGTGCTTACCAAGACAACGCACGCGGTTACCATGACAACTCGCGCGGATATGACGCGCGCGGAGAGATGCACTACAGGGAAAGGCCACGTGACTTCAACGACGGCAACCCATACGGAGATGAACGGGGGTACGGTAGAGGAGCAGCTCCAAACAGCTTTATGGGTCCCACTAGACCGGGATACCAGCCCCCTCCTCATCCTAACAGACCAACTAACGAACCTCCCAACTTTGATGCTCTGAAGCGGAGGCCAGGCAAAGGACGGGGTGCCCGAGGACGCAACTAACTTCAATCATTTCGGCAGAATTATTACCATGTGTTCATATTTCCAGTGTGTTCATATTTCATGTCTAACCGCTTCTATTTCATTACTGATCTCTGAACTTTGATTTGATCTTACTTTGAATTTGTAGATGCGCTCTTGAATCGCTCCTTCATTTCAAGATACGCTACTAGCTGTACGCCTGTAGCACTATCTACCAATTTTCTTTCGGGATTTATAGATTTTGAGGGAACTCCGTTTTCAAACTGGGAGTGCTAAAACTGATGTCGAGATTTGCATTTATTGAAAAAATCTTGACTCGCAAGCAATATAACAAATCTGAAATCTCGACCTGAAGTTGGCCCACTTCTTATTTTTCTTTATTCCAATTTTTCTTTCCGTGTATGTTTTTCTTCTTCCCAATTTTTGAACATCTACTCTTCATTCTACATTTGTAATGAATTTTAATCATGATCCGATTAAGTTAAACTTATTGTTCACCTTTTTAAATCCGGTGTCCGGGTTGCGGGTGCATTTTAAAAGTTTTCACGTTTTTATTCTTAATCTTAACATACTTAAAATATTCCAGATTCTCGAATTGTATTTAAACGCGTTGCGTTATTACAACTTGAATGAACATCACTTTTACCCGTTTATATGATATTACGTAAGCCAGCCAACTGCCAAGGGGGAGGGGGTACGGAACTTCTTGCATCTTGCTTGCTCTATAAGTCTATCATAAAAAATAGCTATTTAAATTTCAGAATAGCTTGCGGAGAGAGGAGGGGGTCTAAAATGGCCACTTCTTGCTTACGTAATATCTGAACGATTCGTAAACAGGATTATAATTTAACGCACATTAACAGTTAAATCGATTAGGTTTAAAGTCAAATCCCAATGCCGCACTGTCAACTGTGCCAAATTTTAATTCAAATTGACAGCTGCATATTCGAGACAGCTCAGAGTGCTATAAAAGGGTTGCGATTGCACGTGCTGCGATTGCAAGTGCTGCAATTTCACGTGCTGCGATTGCCAGTATACCGATATATTCTTGTTCGTCAGTTATTTACACCACAATATTGAATATGTAATATGTATAAAGCGCATTGACGTTTAACTTAGCATTTATAATTAAGAATTTCGTTCTTAATTTCACCGAGAACTGTTTCAGGTTGATACAATTTGTTTGGTATGGGTTGAATGAGTCTTCTGAACATTTTCTTCCAAATAGTTCATATCGCCTTGGGGAAAATATTTTGCCTTTTTGCTCGAATGAACAGGTTAAACGTTTTTGTCCCAAAAATTCATAAATTTTTCTTGTCTCAAGTGATTCACGAGAGAATCAGGACAAAAGTTCTTGAAGGGACAGCCCAAGTACATTATTAATTACTACAACTAGTACATTGTAGTACATGTAGTACTAGTACATTCGTTGGTAATTCAGTGATGAAGTTTGTTGTACTTGTATATCAAATCTGATTTAAATTCCGATGTAATGAACCGTCTGTTATTGTACCGTCCAGTACACAATTCCGACCGCATATTTATGAGTTTTATTTTGTCATCTGAAGAGGGCCGGAGTTATGCAAATAAAATGGCATAAGTGGAGAATTAGTCAAGGGTTTTTCCGTTTTCTCCATAGAAAGTCCCCATTTTATGCCATTGGCCCCACAATAGTACAAGTTCAACTTGTTTACTTGTTATCCAACTCTTATCCCACTCTTAATCTTGATACTGGTGTTTAACGATATACCCAGTTTTGAAGTAAAACTCACATTCAGATCAAAAATTAAAATTAAAAATCTAAACGACACTCTTGTCAGTGAAGTAAGGCTGAAGTAAAGGCAGAATACAGGTCGTCAGCATTCCTTGATTGTCTCTGAACTGCAGGTGAGTAAGACCGTCATATTTACACTTTACTATGCCACCCCGCTCGTCCAGTGTCCTCAGTCCGAACAGATTGTCTCTGTACATCTGGGAGAGTAGTCATTTTATTGTTAATGGTGGTCTTACAGGTAGTGAAGTCAATCCCGATACCGGGATTCCCGAAAATTTTCAGTCGGGAATTCCCGACCGGGAAATTTAGATATTTATGTTCGTTACATTTACAATTGCAAATTTTAGAATATTCGATGAATTGACTGCAATATAATTTTGAAAATTAAATTACCCGACTCGGACTACCAATACCATGAGCCGAGATCGTAGCAAAGCTACAAGCTGGAACGGATTGACATCGTAAATCAAATAGTCTGTTAGATTAAAATGTGGTTACAATCATATGACAGTTGGTAATAACTAATGAGTAATGACTGATGAGGTATGTAATGATGGAAGTGCTAACTTTTAAATGGACTCACCTTTGTTTCCTCCATTGGGATTACTTCTCCATCAAAACCTTCATCAGTGTAGGACCCAAACATCCTGATAACATTCAGCTCTAATTTGGGATCTATTTGCAATTTAACATCGAAACTAATGTGAGTTTGTATGCACTAAATCTGAGTAATGAATTAATTATTCATCAGTCCTACTATAATAGTAATACATACTATGGCTAAGTCTCAGTTGTTGGACTACTTACGTTGATTGCCAGGGGTCGATTACATCCTCGGACTCCCCTCCAATAAGAGCTAACTTCTTAAGCTTCAGAAAGTTCATTTTCTTTCTTTCTTTCTCCTCAGGACTGATACTCGAGAGCTCATTGTTAAGTTCAGGGAAGAAGGCTACTTCTTCAAGGTACATATTGTAGTGAGTGGGATCTGATGTGTTGTATCGTGTCCATTTTCAAAAAAGTAAAATTTTCAAAGTCATGAAACACACTCACAGTGGTGTAGCCGTAGTTTAAGTTTTTATATGTGATTTGATAAAGTTTAACTTGAAAATGTATAACTATAAATTAGAAGATATTGCTTAGTTTCAGTACCTAGGTAGTAGTTAAACATCGAGAAGGTCTGCCCGAAGAATGTGTAAAGCACCCTGAATTAAAAGTCTTTGTTAAAAGTTAAGATTCTGTGGGGACGTGAATAATTTAATTTGACGAAAACATAACATGAACATCATAAGCATCTAAGACTGAAGACTAAACTTAAAATGTTGACCCCATGCCCCAAGCAATTTCAAACTGATCCAGCAATGAGTAAAGGCAAAGCGTTCGCCAGATCAGTCCATTTACATTATGAATTAAAACAAAGTGTAATTCCTAATTCTTAAAAAGTTGTATTGAGACAGACTAAGTGCACGTGCTCACATATATAATAGTTAAAATGAATGCTTTATAAATTGTTGACTAACTTGTAGATTGTTGTTCTTGAGTACCAATGAAGGAAGGGAACGAAAGTTTCTGCCAATGGTGGTGCTGAAAGTTTTGATGTTTAAGGCCTTTGTTGTTTGTGTTTCAGCCGAGACTCAAGAAATTGAAAAAGCTGCATTTCATTGCTGGGCCTTGAAACAAATATTTACAATTTAGTTTTACGGCTGGTATCATCGGTAAAAATGTTTAAAAACCGCACACTTCACGGATGAAAGGTTCACCTTGTATTGACCTATAACTATGTGCATGTGTTTTCGGCTTCGAGCCACTGCAAGCGCGAGGGCTTTGGTTAGAGCAAAATGAATTACTGGGCCGCGCTCAGCCTGTCATTCCGCCAAATATTTATTTGTTAATAAACATAATAGCCTGGGGTCCTCAGGTAAAAAATGAAAAGCGACCGTGTACATAGACCTTCAACATCACTAATACATAATAAAATCTCACCTCCATAAACACCATGTTGAGGAGAAGCTAGCGAGATGAACAGCTCAACATTGTGATCATCCCACTCTTCTATCATAGCCCTCCAGATCAACCCTCCTTGGGAGTATCCTACAGCTATGACTTTGTCGTATTGGGCGGCGATCTTCTTCACTCGAGGAAGGATGTCCGGTACTTGGTACTGCATGGGAGTAATACTCGCCGCGTAGTTGTACGCCTGCGATGGGGATGACTTGTAGTTGTGTAGTTGATGCATGTTCTCAGATTAGCGCACGATATAATAATAATACTATGGAGCTGCAATGGAGAAAAATTAATAGATGTTAGTTTTATATAGCTCTTTTTAAGATTAAGACAAGATTGAGTATAACAAATGTTTATTCTCCAGACTTACATCAAGAAGATGAACTGGGATACCGGTATTCCTCTCGATAAACTTTTTGAAGTTGTTGTGCTCGTAGTAGCCCTCCACCACACCGTGCATGTGGATAATCCCCACTTTGTAGGAATCCACACAAGTCACCGCCACTAAAACTAGCGAAACCAACGACAACATTTCAGCTAACTTTGACAAACCAAGTTGACGTGCTCGAAGCTAGTATTTATAACGGGACTTGCGCAATATTTGCAAACGGTGCTGGCATGGTGAGTGGTGTCTGATCAATCCTTTGATTCATTTAAATTAAACCGCATTTCACACCTGTCTTCCTCTTTAAGGGTGAACCAAGTGTCAAATTTTAGTATTGAACGTTTAGAAATAACTTCACAAAGCCTCGTTGAGTCTATTAAATATTTGTAATAGGCCATTTGGTCCTTCATCACAGAGGCGAAGTACTGTTTATACCAACTCCTATTGGCTGGTAGACAATATGACGTTAATAAATTTTCTAATTTTAACACCTGGTCGACAGATGGAATCAGAGTGGAGATGGAAATTAAACAACTTTGTTAGAATAGAATAAATTAAATCTGTAAAACAAAACAACACAAATAGTATAAAACCAATCAACTGTTTACTCTTTATAAGAGTCACATGTCATTCAAACAACCACTGTTAATGATTTATCAAAATATAAACCACACGAACAACGAAGAAGTGTTCGAGCCAATTATTCATTGGGTTGCGATTTTCACAGCAAAGTTGCATTTATAGATACAGGGTGGGCCAAAAGTCAGTGTGCAAACGTTGGGTCTTATACCTCCGCTGAGTTTTATATTTGAGAGCTGTTGCTTTGCAGATGGCATACTGTACTTACTGGTTCGAGGATTCCGTCGTCAAAATTTGAAAATTCGAATATTTTAGACCACGCCCATTCAATATTAAAACACCTATATTGTTTTCTCTGAAAATCCTGAACGCCTAATTTTTTTAGAGACGGTAGATTATCAAATGTTGCATATGATTTGAAAAAATGAGGCAAAACGGATTAGAAATGACGAAGTTAACAAGCATTTTGTGTATCTCGTTAACAAATTGACTGGGTGATTATGTGACACCGTGACACGACACCTTAATTGGGCACCCTTAACAATTCCCATAATGTTTAACGGGGTAGTTAACGGGGTCACCTTATCACGTGATTAGGTAAACCAATCACCTGATCACACGTAATGAACAAGCTTGTTATGCTTCATATCTCGGTCATCTGAGAAGCTAGAACTCTCATTCTTTCAGGGCAAACGTAATTCGAATGGCCAAACACAATTCAATAACATTTAGCTTGATCCGATTATCCAAACTATCAAAAAAATGTGAAAATGAACCTCCATTTGAAAAAAACGAACGCGAATATTTTTCGAGTTGACAAATTCCTCGAACCAGTGGTAGTACTAAGTCATACCAGAAGGAAGTATTTCAATTGGGCACTCAGTGACTGAGCTATTAAGGCCAACGTTTGCACACTGACTTTTGGCCCACCCTGTACATAAACTCAATTTTGAGGAGGCTGTAGAGTCATCATTTCTTCATCCTCGCCATTCAAAAACTACCCATCACAAAGGTTCAAAGTCACAACGCTCGTGCGCGGCAACCGACTACCATGAGCCTTGTCATACGTTGTATGACCCGCCGCGCACGAAGTGCGCGGCTCCCCCTGTGAAACGACCGTGGGGGTCGCAACGTGATACAACGTGATACAACATGAGCCTAGGGCTCATAAATCAGCAGAAATAACATCACAATTCTAGAATCCAGCAGTTCTGTGAAAGACTAAACTTCACAACTCTATTCCATTCTATCATCACAAGTGTTGGTGGATGTGTTTCTGAAGGTTGCTAAACAGGATCCTGGTCCTTGGATCCTTATCTAAGCACCTCCGAATGATGAACTCTACGGGATTATTGCTGGAAGAGAGAGATGGAGGGCTGCTACTTCCCCCACTTAGTCTGCTGAGTCTGCCTGCTCCCACCATGCAGTAATGCAGGACTGAACCGAACCTGGGGAGGAGAGGTGTTAGGGGCGAGGCTAAGGCGAGAACGCCACATGTTGTGCAGAGTGGTAGTAGATATAATCTTTCTCGATCATTTAAGTGATCTATAAGTTAATCTACTTAAAATGAAAGCAATCAGCCGTCTAAACTCTTGCCGGAGGTGAAAGATAAGAAAGATTAGAGGGAATACTTACTTCCAGACTAGAGTCTGAAGAGGACTACAAACTCCGTATTTCTTAGCTTCCGGGGGCAGGTTACTGCTGTCTTTAGGTGCTTTATAACTGTTAAATTAATCTAGAGTTAGAGAGAAATGATTTAGAAACGAGAGATTCGGTGAGTGGTGGTGGAAACAATCAAGTTAGAAACTTAAGTCATGACAGCCATTAAAGTGCACTCTAGTTAGTCTAGCGTTACTTACGGTTCCTTGCTGTGAGATAGCGAGGTAGCATGACCGAATCCCACTAGTTTGATCTGCTTTGTCGCTGGGTTGTAGAGGATGTTCTCCTGGGACAGGTCTCGGTGGTCCACTCCGTTTACTACACAAGTGTTCAGAGCTGTAGCTAGCTGTCTTGCTAACTGTGGGGAGAGGGTGGGTTAGGAGGGGAGATTAAAAGGTGGGAGTTAATTCAAATTTAACTGATTTAGCTTGGAGATTTATATTTTGTTAATTTGAAATGACTAGTGGGAGAGGCTGGACAATAACTAAATCACTAGTACCTTGTAAAGCGAAGGGAGGTCCAGAGGACCGTGGGAGATAACGTAGTCTCTGAGAACTGAGTAACCCTCTGGAAACTCCATAACCTGACGAGACAATACGATTAGACAGTGCGCTAGAATGCAATTAATTAATAAGTAGTCTGAGATCAGTTAACAAGTAGTCTGCAATCAGTTAATTGGTGATGTCTGAGAAGTATGAAGTAGGATGACGAATAATATCACATATTAACAGCGTGTCAACAAACTGGCGTGGGTTTAATTACACGACTCTAACAGTATTAGCGTTGGAAACAACCCTGGTAACCCTGGTAACTCACCATAGCCCAACAACCCTGGTAACCCTGGTAACTCACCATAGCCCAACAACCCTGGTAACCCTGGTAACTCACCATAGCCCAACAACCCTGGTAACCCTGGTAACCCTGGTAACTCACCATAGCCCAACAACCCTGGTAACCCTGGTAACTCACCATAGCCCAACAACCCTGGTAACCCTGGTAACTCACCATAGCCCAACAACCCTGGTAACCCTGGTAACTCACCATAGCCCAACAACCCTGGTAACCCTGGTAACTCACCATAGCCCAACAACCCTGGTAACCCTGGTAACTCACCATAGCCCAACAACCCTGGTAACCCTGGTAACTCACCATAGCCCAACAACCCTGGTAAACCTGGTAACCCTGGTAACCCTGGTAAACCTGGTAACCCTGGTAACCCTGGTAACTCACCATAGCCCAACAACCCTGGTAACCCTGGTAACTCACCATAGCCCAACAACCCTGGTAACCCTGGTAACTCACCATAGCCCAACAACCCTGGTAACCCTGGTAACTCACCATAGCCCAACAACCCTGGTCAACGTAGCAGCCATCGTACCGTATTGTCTCTGGAGACTGACAAACAGTTCCATACACAAACTCAGCGGGCAACTTCCCTACAGTCTGCGGAGATGGTTACTGTGTTTATAGCTGATCATAGAGAAAATTATTGAGGTGAGTATATTGGGGATATACAGATATTTTAAGTCTTGTGTCGTATTTTTATGAGCGACATTTGGGACAATTGACTGACAAAAATTTAAAGAACGTAAAAACCAGAACAATAATTTTGGGTACTTACCAGGTCAATCTGATCCTGTTTCCGATTGCAGAATATCTTCTGAAGAACGGTCTCGTTGTTGAAGCACTGTACCACGTTTGTAGGAACGAACTTAATAGCGACCACCGATCTGTTCTTAACATGGGTGGCGAGGTGAACTGATCCTAGACGGCATCTGGGGAAAGAGAGAGGGTATATTAGTGGTGGGGTAAAGATGATCTGTAGTAAATACTGAACTTCAATTAGCTGTGAAAAATACATAACACGTTTGAAATTACGATTTATTTCAACTATAAATCACTCATCGCTGATAAAATCATTCCTGTTTAATGTTTATTATGCAATCAAGTTTCAGAAAGTTCTTGAAAGTACTAGAAAGTTCTCCATACCTGCTAATCTCGTTCAGAACAACGTAAGTATCAGCTACAATGTGCATTTTGTGTTCCAGATAGACTAGCTCGATCTTATTCTCTGAGTTCAGGAGACTGATGGGCTTCTTCTGAGGAGAAAATATTTTAGTGGGAGAAATTAAATTTACGAGTAAAATTCGGAGAGGCAAATGGGTCTTAAGAAATACAGTAGTGGGATGTGGAAGAGTTTATAGGACTAGGAGCTATATGACATCAACAATAAAAATAAAGATACGGTGGGAAATAAAGTAACATGTGAAAAGATTGACTAGGATAATAGGAGTTCACAATAGCTTGCGATTCAAAAAATCTACTATCATTTCATAGCCAAATTGTTGAAGAAGCATGTAGCATAAATACTTTCAGATAACAAACATTTATAAGCAAACTAACAGATGTTAAGATCGTCATGACATAGTAGGGTAATCAAACAGAAGTCAGTTAACTAAAAAGTACTAAGATCAAGTTTTGAATCAGTGCAGCACACAGACTAACGCTTTTAAACGAAAGTTTTGCTAATTTATTTATTAGATTACCATTAGCATACGAAACACCTTACAATTACCTTAAAGAATCAGGTAATTGTTTCCACGTGTGTGACTAACCAATTAAAGGCTGTATCCCTGAGGGGGTGTAACAGGTAACTCCAACTGGCGCAGAACAATCGGTAGAGGAAATGAAAGTAGGTGTGAAGGAAACAAAAAGGTGGAGCGACTATCAGCTACTATGACAGAAAGTGTGAGAAGTATACTGGAAAGCAGCAGTGTAGGGTTCTTATAATGTGAAACTCGAGATAATACTGACCGGGTATGCAGCTAATGAAACGACCCATCTCAATCCAATTAGCGCATGTGAAACCAAGTCACGTGGACTATTGGTTACCATGGTCACGATAATCACGTGATCTGAGTAGGACAGGTTTGGCATGTTCTCATTTGGTTGGGTCAAATGTTAAAAACGGTGGACTTGACAACAAGGTGGCCTGTACTTACTCTTAAATGATTGGCTTGTGAGTACGCAAGCACTGGGAATAAAGACCTGACTTGATTGGAATAAGCAGTTCGAATAACGCCCAGAACGGATGACTCTGAGATTGGTCCTGTTTCTACAAGAATCAGCTCATACAGAATGGTTTCTAATTGGGTTTAGAGTTAACTATGGTTTCACTTCTTATAGATATCACATTTAGGAGGATTCTTATTAACATTATCTTCTGATGAGGGGCTAGGTGTGGCCACGACTCATGAACGTGAAATATCAATCCCATATTAATCGATGGAGGATTTGGTGGTATGATTAATGGCAGTGGTGTGAGGGAACCACAAATTAGATGGTGATTGTGTAAGAAATATTAGCGATAGTTTTGTAATATTGAATACCATAATTTATACAAAATACCCTCAGTGGCTACTTTCTGAGGACTCTGTATAATAACCGACAGCCAAGGTATAGGAGAAGTTGAGATCTGTATTGTGCTACTAATTTACCAGCATTCACTAGTCATTGTAGGATAGTGTATGCTCTTAAAATATGTTTTGTGTCACGAATTTACCTTAACATACTAACTCCGTCGACAGCTCAATAATTCATAATGTAAACAATATGTTAATATAGAACATTTTATCCGTCTCGCATACCGTGACAATCTTGTATTTCCAACTACAAACTACCACGTAAATATTTTAACATTATTCACGTTATCTACGAGTAAGATCACTGCAAATGATGGGGAACATTATCATAACACTGATCACACTATTGGTGGATCCAGTAGGAGGGAACCCAAACGATCCTCGTCGCTTCAATGCTCTTAAGTTTGGGAACAATCTGCCAGATTACATCACCTACAAACCGGACATGGGACCACTGCAGAATGCATTCAGTGTATGTTCATGGGTCCGGAGTCTTAGAACGACTGGTATCCCGGTTTGGTTATCTTATGCGCTCAGAACTAGTTACAGTAGTAGTCACAACAGTAGTCACAACGAGATATCGGATTATGGGAAATGGAACTTCATTTTTGACGATGACGGATGGAAATTTATAGGCATATGATGGAATGATAATCGGTGGATCCAAATTATGGTCCCAAATCATTAGATACTAGGGCATTAAGCATTAAGTCTAGTTAGCATTTAGTCTAGTTAGCAACATATCCAACGATTATCATGGCAATGAATCTTTACGTAATTTTGAAGTGGAATCCTATATCACCAGAAAAAGGACTGTTTGGTAACTTAACAAGGCCCAGGCCCCAGGGGCTAGGGCACGTGCACCTGTTTTTAATGAGCTCACACTATTTGAATTGAAGAAACAATGAGAAATGCCAAAAATGTTAATTGACATATCACGTTTTGTTGGTTATTAGTCAACATTTGGCAAACACCTTGAGCTCAAACACCTTAATAGGTAATATGTCAAATTTCTTATGCCTTCGTTCAAACGTTTCAGGAAGGGGTTTGAAAAATCGGAAAATTTGCTTTCCATCATGAAAATGAGCCTTTTCTTATAACTGTTGATATCATCAATTCAATGTAAAAGCAGATAGTAGACATAGCCAAAATAATGCACGATAACTTAGATTAAGAGACAGCACACAAAGAAATAATGTCCTGCTCCGTGCTTTCTCGTGTGATTACATGCTCATCAGGATGGGCATAACTTAATAAGTTAATGATCAGCAATGATTTCTAATCCAGTTATGTGATTTATTTGTCTATAATTGTGAAGCTCTCTGTTATTAATGGTGTTAAGTGTTAACACACTCCCCAATACTCGACTGTTGTTCGCACAGGTGGCTGGTTAAATACCACTGTAACTTTCCCGGCTCTTTAGACTCTTGTAATTGCGGCCGCTAAATATTTGGGAAGCTGTGACTTTTGGAGCTCCTACACGTACTGGTCTGGGAAATGTTGACAACAATATGGCAAGAACTGGTTACTAGAGATTAGGAAAGGTGTTGCTGAACTATACTCTGTATACGTCACAGCAGTTATAATGAACGGTTGATTTGGGTCAAATTATTAACCAAGAATTTGAACGTTTTTATGGTCTACACGGAGAGAACGTAATGTATGATAGAAAGGTTCGTCAAAAATAGGTATAAGGAGAACTAAACTAGAAAAATAAAAGCTAGAAAAGCTACAAATTCTCCACTTAGTCTCTTGAAGTCGAAGTTATTTTATAAAGTTAAGCAGAAAGAAATCTTCGAATTATAAGATAGATCACTATTGCAGGAAAGCGAAACCACAACTTTTCTTCAAGATCAAATATGGTTATAAATCCTCCTTTCAACCAATCTTTCAACTGACTACTAATTTTCAAAGTTTTAAACTGCCCATGTAGGCATGATATAATTATACGTCATGTGAGCATAATATACGTCAATGACTTCCTTTTACAAAGATGAAGTATGACGATGGAAATGGAACCAACAAAGATTTTAAAAATCACCAGTACCGAAATTGGTTTCTCTTTGACATACGTTGCATGCCACTTTTCGCGCGCGTAACATGTATCAAGTTTCTCTAGAAGCTGACCAGCGATGCATCCAGGAAAGAGAGACAGCAGCAGAGAGCAATATGAACCTGTGACGTTAACAATAATCACGGCCACTTTCGCTATTTAAGAACTGTCTGAGTGCAGTGCACAGTGCCAGTTCCAATTAAATGAAATATGTATTTACTACTACTACGGCTTTCTTACCAAAGAAATGCGAAAGCAATCAATAATCATATTAGTCGCTTATAAGCTTGTAAAGGGTTGCGAGTCAGAGGGCTCAGTACTCATTGGTGGTTCATAACATGTTGAGCACTACACGATACGGATAATGTAGAAACCCCTGCAGTCCACATTATGCAGTAAACAAGTAATGAGATACGAAAAATGAGCGTATCAATGAAAAAATGACTTAGTGTCACCTTGATATAAAAGACCAAAGGGTAGCACAATATCAACGCAATCTGATATATTTAATGAAACGTTGCAGATTTATATTTTATCCCCATTCATCGCTGCCATGTGAGAACATTGAGTTCGCTTGAAAAAGAAAAAAGAAATAAAAAAGTATAGTACTAGTAAGGACATGACAAGAATTGGAGGCAAGGTTAAATAGAGACATGACAAGATCTAGAGACAATTTCCAATTTCAAACACCATAGAGACATGACAAGTTTAAATACAGAAAAGCTTAAATGGAGACGAACCTGTGTTATGAGCATGCTGCGATTGTTTCTGGATCTTGTGAAGTAGTGATAGCTATCAAAAGTAATCCAAGGGGACGAAGACTAGAAGATGATCAAGGAATACAAATTTTCCTGATAAATACTGATATTAAGTTCCTAATACCAAGGTTGGTATTTATACTGCCCAACATGCAGCTGATTTGTAAGGCGGAACCCAATATTATCAAATCGAATAGCCCCCAAGGTTCTGTTTAATTGAATGGGCTTCAAATGTATCACGTGATAGGTTTCCACGGTAACATGTGACAGGTTTCCTCGGTGAAAGCATGCAGCGAAACCCTATCTGTGACATTAATTGGGTCGCAGGATCCTGATTCCGGAAATATCTCGGGTCACGTGATCAAATCGGCCAATCAAAGTGCAGGCGAGGACTGCGTCCACCAATAGGATCGCGAGATTATCTCACGTGACAGATCAGTCCAATCCTTTCAAACCCAACAATGGGATCCCATTAGCGACTCCTGATTTGATACAATATGGGCTTACCTGTATCTAAATGGGCATTTAAATTAATGTCATCAGATTAGGTCAAACAATAATCCAGGTAAATTGTCGTAAATAGTAACATTAGCACGAGCAGTCGTGCCGGCTGAAACTGGGGACTAAATCTTACTGTTTCTTGAAGTGACTGAATAGAGTCTTGCGATGTGAAGTGGAGTTTATCATCCATTGAATCGAAGCAAAGTAGTGACGAATGCTAAACAGGATTATGAGTTCAAGACATAAGAATCACAAAAAAATCGTAAGAGTTGAAATTCATACTCTACATACCATAGCTTGGTTACACTTTTTGTAACCTAGGATACTACTACTAGTTTCCTCTGCACGACTGTAAGTGTAAAAATCCCAGAAGTTAGGATCTTAATTTACAGTTACATAATCCCATAACATTGCGTTTAAGGCTCCATAATTTATGGGCTCAGGTTTCTAGGTGTGCTTATGTTCTGGTGCCCTTACTATTTGTACATTTCATGTCCGCCTTTACTTTATACAGATAAATTTTAAATTTACATAGGTTCATATATCACATTTTAGCTAATAAAACGTTTTCCGTAATCGAAGTGTCACACTCTAGGAGCTATCTCCTGTATCGATGTAGCAGTGCACGTGACTTCTTCACAAGCTAAAATACTGATGCATGACACTCAGCACTACACTCTTTGTCCGCAATTATTTCGTATTCTGTGCTTGTAGTTCGATATATTCAGTAGATTTGCAGATAATGAAAGCTCAATCCCTCGTGGACGAAGTCTACAGCTTACCCCCGCTCCAAAAAACACCGCCCACCGGTAGCCGTAGTTTCTCAAGACATCAGCTGCCTAATGGATATATTGTCACATACTGTGACAATCTGACTCATGTTCCGTCAGTTAAAAAGGAGTTCAAGCCTAACCCTGAGGTAGGAGTTGCGATGTTCAAGGTTGGGAATAGTGGCGGGATATATTGTGGGACGTTAATCAATTCGTAGATGATAGTACTAAGATATAGCAGACCTACTGAACTAATGAGGGGTGGATCTACTATTGAGTATTGAGATGTTACACCAGCGCGGCAATCTAGTTTACGTCTTTTATTAAAGATTTTGACTTGGCTTCACAACAGCACGCTATTGCTCGTATCTTATGAATAAATTAAAATTAGACGAACTACAAACCTCAGTTTACACCAATCTTGATGCACGATAGCTACGATCTTGCCAGCACTTGCCAGCAATTAAACCCAACTGTTTCAGGTCTCAAAGCGACTAAAATCTCTATCAGACTTCAGTCACAGCGTCTCTGCATCTCTGGGCACTAAATCCTACTTCGAGAACGCTCAAAAGCCTGGCAAGAGACGGCCCCGACAGAAGAACACATCCAAAGCTCGAGCTCAGACTGGCTTCCAGTACTGGTATAAAGACACTAAACAGCTGCCTGATAAGAGGGTTAGGTCTCACGGAGCTTTCGGATCTAAGAATACTGTGCTAGGTAAGTGTGGCACCGTGGTTTGTTAATTACCTTGTAATTAGTTAATTAGTGGTGTAGTAATGTTAGTTATTTTGTATCCGATCTGTAAACTCGTAAAATCAAACAGCTTGTACATTGTACACCATAGCCTGAGGGTTAACAACTCCACTAATATCTCATAACTTTTAACCTAAATCTAACAATTAACAACTTCCTCGTTCAGGATTGAGCGGAGGATCGAGTCACATCAAATCTCAGCCGGTAAACGCTCTCCACTTCTCACGACCCACTGCCAACTTAGAGAGCATGATCAAAGCAACCGCTCCTCTTCAATGGATCGGGGCTACCTTCCAGAATATGTAGAGTGTATGTAGAGGATTATGGGAACCAGCCTTCAATATACAGTAGATCAACTATAGTGAGCAACGGATAACAAGACTCTTACAGTTTAACGAGACCTCAGACCCTTCGGTTGGAAATGTGTGGTCTGTTCGTGCTTATATAACGCTTCAACCGGTTCTAATGAACAAATTCAGATGTGTACAAGTTAAGAATTCGTTGACAATTTGAGTCATGATAGACAAGATGAAGAATTTGTTAGTTCGAGCTTCCAGACACTAACATGATCTAACAGACGACCTGGTCTGATGAACTGAGAGAGAGAGAGATAGAGAGAGAGAGAGAGAGAGAGAAAAAACAGTCGTATGAAAATCATCAAGTTTGTCAATTTGTTGACTTTTTTAGTGATTTTTGGTGGTTTTACTTAAGTTTCGCTGAATTTATGATACCGATTTCTTGTCTTCTATAAATAAGTTACATAATTCATAATAAAACTTTATCGAAATAATCGCGAACGTTGACCCACATAAAATTGTGAAACTAATTGAGTGACTTAACTTTGAAAGCTAAAGAAAAAGCGTTTGACCGTATAGCACGGAATGTGCAAAACCGTCTCGATTGAACCAAATAACTAGGGTTAAAAAGCATTTGCCGAAAATAAGAAAATCTAAAAAAATGTCTGCCATTTTCCCAAAATGGTGTCCTTGACAGCGTCCACGTATTGGGCGGGAATCCAGTAGATCCAGTAGATTGACAATTCGGTCGGTCCCAGCTGTATACCCTGAAACGGATCATCTGTCAGAGTTCAACACACAGGAGGAGGATAGTCGCTTGAGATCGGAGATTTCAAAAAGTTACTCTTCTAAACACTCGGTTCCGGTCCGGCAGCAAAACCCCCAGATCGCGATCGGTCGGTTCAAAAAGGTACACATACCTTAATAAAAAGTCATTACACGTACTATAACGATTTAAAAGTTTGTGAAATTAATGTAACGATATTTACCAGTATGTAGTACTCAGGGTTAGCTTCAATCTTTTCACTGACAACGTTTCTAATGCTACTCATACTAATCTTCTCCGTCCGTGCTGAAAAAGAGAAGAGTGCTGAAAATATTTATTGGAAACTTTCTTACCGATCAACTCTTAGGGCTCTTTACAGTAAGACAAAATAACAAGAAAGTAGAAACTGGATTGAAATTTATGCCATGAAATGCCATTTAAGTTTAGCCGCCAACACTTTCTCATTTGTATCAGGTTCATGTGCATTGAGCATTTCTAAACTATTCGGACTTAGTTTACAATAATAAAGAGATACAACAAATAACTTTAAACAGCCATTAGACAGCTGAAAGAAAATTTTTGCAAATATACGGTTATTTTGAAAGAGAATCTATCTCTTATTAGAAGAGAAAGAGGATCTATCTCTTTATCACACTCATGTTATCCCACCTTTAGTTCCGATCCACAATGAATCCTCTTCAAGTTTAAAGGTAAGTCTGACTTTGCCCCCAGTTTTGTTGACCATACCGTTGAGGGGATGTGAAGGTAGCGGTTGTTTCACCCCGATAATCCCAGGCATGGCATCCTCCGGTTTTCCTTTGTCTAATACTTTCTGGTGGATCTGAGGAACAGTGTTATTCCAATAGGTTTCACTTTATAATTCTCTCCAGGAATTACACCCCCGAAAAGTGGTGAACACGGAGCGCGCACTGATAATGTCCCACGAGTGTTGCGGACATTATCAACACAGACTGCGAGTTTGATACACGTTGTATACCTCTTTTCGCACCATGATGAGCAGCGCGTATCACATTAGTATTAATACACATTCTTTCATACAGAAATAGTCGTAAATCATAACACATACAGTTAAACCCCGATTTACTGCGCCCCGATTTACCGCAAACCCCGATTTAACGCGGCCATCTCCTTTCCCCAAACAGAGCTTAACATGTATAATGTAAACAAACAAAACCCCGATTTACTGCAAACCCCGATTTACCGCAAACCCCTATTTACCGCGGATGTTTCCTTTCCCCAAACTCCGCGGTAAATCGGGGTTTTACTGTAATTAATACGCTTTAGTTTCGTGCCGCACTCGCCCTCACCTTCGGTTCGTACATTAATGCGCGTAGTGGGGGGGGGGGGGGGGGGGCACTTCACTTTTTTACACTATTTTACACTGGTATAATGCAATGTGGTAGATACTTGTATAGCGTACTCTGCAATCTAGATCTATAAAACGGAGTACGAGTTACCACGATAGTCATACTCATGTATCTCTCCGCTAAGTCTACAATTCTGCTAACTAACAACTGAGTCGGAGGTCAATTAAATGTTCATAGATATGGATTATAGAGACTAGCAGGAACCCGTATAACCCTAAAATAGTTTCAAGACTCAAGAGACTAAGATAATTATTATCTGGAGGCCATTAAAGCATTTGAACCAGTCAAAAAAGTTTCAGTTGTATATCTTTTACGGTTTTTTGCGTTAAAGTTGATGCCGTGGTGTCAGTAAAATGGTACAGATAAACACACATATACATATATATATATATCGTCTCGCTTTATAAATAGTAAGTAAGATTAATCACTCTAAACTTGACTGTCACGTGACTTTTTAGCACGTTCTCGCGGTGGCCCTAAATGACTATTCGAAACCATAACCCTCTAATCTGATCCCAACACTAACAGTAACCCTAACCCAATCCCTAACTGAAAAATATGCTGAAACCCTAACCCTAGAGAGAAATTATACCAACTTCATTTCATGGTCGTATCACGTGATCAAGATGAAGACAGTTGTTCGCCGATATCTCGCCAGGGGAGCATTTTAACCGTATGCCATGAGGGTGATTCGGAATCAGCGTTCGAAAATACATCGATAAGTCGAGTGTTGAGTGATTTAGCAAGCTCGCACAATGCAACCACACTTCGCATTCAAGTGAGGGCTTTTGTTTCGCAGCCCGAAAATAGGGACAAAGGTCAGGGTCTAATGGGGTACGAGGTGCACTATAAAGTGCTTGACTTAAGAGAATACATAAATTCTTACATTTATTACATTTATTATACGCTTCGACATTAAAATATGTGCATCTAAGTCCAGTGGTCGACCGGGGGCAGGATTCTGACCGGGGCCGGGGAGCCCCAATATAGCCGGGGCCGGGGCCGGGGCTGAACACTGAGAATTGGCCGGGGCCGGGAAATTTTCCATTTTGTCGGGGCCGGGGGTAGTTTACCAAATTGAAGTCAGAAATTGAAACATGAATTTGATAATAATTTAGGCTGGTGTGATGTAATCGGGAAGGATTAAAGTCAAGGTGCGGCTTATCCTCACCGACTTGAGGATTAAACTGCAACTTCGTGCTGTGAACCAACTCAGGATAATCCTCATAATCTTGAGATCCATACTTAATTTCTAATCCTCAACTCGGAACTGAGGATAACCCTCAGCTGCTACTTTATCTGGACCTCGGGATTTAAAAGTAATCCCACATCCAAATATGGCTCGGTTCACAAAAATTTACCATAAATGTTAGGCTCTGTAGTTTACGTTGAGCCGTAGTTTTAGCTGCAGTGCAGTATGTTTACTTTCTAGTTTCTACGTATGTTTTATCGTAAATTTCTCGGAGACGATTAATTGAAAAGTCTGATCATACTAAGGAAGAACCACGGTTTTTATGTTACTAGCCGTAGTCTAATTTAAGCCGTATGTTGTATTTTCTATATTTAAACGTACTCAACGTAGACAATAAATTTTTCAACTTTGAAATCTCATAATTACCATAAAATTGTGTTTGATTTTTTTCAAAAATGTGCCAAAATCATTCATGAAATCCCCGGCTGTGCCCCCGGCAAATGCATGGTTTTTGGCCGGGGCCGGGGTTAAATTTATTGGCCAGAGCCGGGGTTTACCGCCGGCGATTTGCCAAATTTTGGCCGGGGCCGGGAAGGGCCGGGGGTTGTGATTTTGGCCGGGGCCGGGGCCCGGCCCCCGGTCGACCACTGTCTAAGTCATACAATCAAGACTACAGTTGATAATGCTCTCACTGAGAACTGAGAAGGGAAGTTCATTCTACATTTATGGTCAAGGATTAGAAACAGAGTTATAGATAGGTATAAATAATAAGGCAAAGGGTTAGATACTCTTTAATTAAATTTCATCTTCAGTAAAATTTTATTGGCACAAAACTAATGTAAAATAGTAATAGTGTACAAAATAAAGTGTTCATAATAAAATTTCTACCAAAATTTATATGGTGCACGTATCTGATGAGCTTAAGTCCCAGGACATTGACAAGCGAAATGCCTTATCTTCACAGCGTAGGAGTCATCAACTGTTCCCCATCTTGAGACCGCCAAAACATCCTGTCCACCCACATGATGGCGGTCTCTGTTGTCATTTCCTCCGCCACGCGCCCACTTTATACCCCACTCAATATGCTGCCCGTCAGACCACTCCCATCCCCCCTCTTCGTGCATGTCGTGCCCACCTATCCACACCCAGTTGTCATCATCCCATCTTTTTTCTTCAGATCTGGGTCCGAGGAAATATTCTATTGCTCCCACCAGTTTCGTTAACTCGTCATCAGACCGGATTTTAGCAAATTCCAGACCAGCATTTTTGCAAGAAATGTTAGCTTCGTCCCAGCTTTTACGCTCTCCTGAAACCATATACTTTCCTTGGTACTGACACACGTATGGTAACGCCATATTGACAAACGAATCATCCCAAAAGCCCTCGTGGTTCACTCTCACGAATTTTTCTCGGCATGGCGTATTTCCTCCACACAGTTTTTCTACATCACTATCAGAATGGCCGGATCTCCTATAATCAGGCTGTCTTGGCATCCAGCTCTGATATTCCCCTGCTTGAGTACCGTCTGCATATTCCCACTGTCCAGGATAATTTACCCCTGAAATAAATTCCTCGTTTAGCATTTGACTCTTCACTCGAAGTCCGACCCAAGCCCATTTCGTAGGAGCCCAACGATCCAGTGGCTGTTCATTTATTGGATAGGCCGACTTCTAGCAGTTTTGCGACCTGCGAGTTCCTCTTTTCGTCCGTTATTTTTGCCAACTGTCCACCTCTTCCAGTCCCCATCTCGAACTGTTCACATTTTTCCTCTGCAGTCATGTAGTCAGTGAGAGCGGGAAAGAGCGCCAGATTGCATATCAAAACAACATCTTCCTTCAATCCTGTCAGATTCTTTAATCCGTTTAATTGACTCGTTTCCTCGTCTGTAAACGATTTACATATGCAGATATCGAGAACAAGGATTATGCTTAAAGCAGCAATCGAGGGAAAATTTAATCGTTTCACAACCATAGCTACAGTTACAACAATGACTGATGCTTAAAGCTGTATAACTGCTTATAACTACATAACTGTATATTATAACTGCTAGTTTTACATGGTTATATCAATACAATTTCGCATTGAATACGAGCATATGCAAGAATTCGAAGGAATGGGAGCACAAACCTATCTTAAGGGGGGGGGGGGGGGGGGGGGGGGGGGGGCGGGGGGGGCGGGGGCCGGGGGGGGGTTTTACCCTGATTAAATTGTGAAATTTGATTTCGAGATAGTAATTGACCAACAAACTAGGGCCTCTGGACGAACTTTTGAGGGGGTTCCGGACTCCGGGTGCCCGCGGGACAGCCACGCCCATTATGCCAAATCACATTAATATGCTCAAAACCCATATTTTAGGTGCTGTACTTGTAACTGGTGGACCCTTGAACTCGAACATGAATTTTCATCAAGATTAGACATAAAATGACTGAGTTATGAGCCAAAAACCATATGCAAATGCATCAGGTAAATGCACCAAATTTGATTGATTTTGGCCCATAAATTGGTCAAATATCAATATTTTTTAATTAAACCAACTTTATATAAAAGGTAAGCCTAAACTACACATTCTCTATGATTAGGTATCAGCTCAACGTCTACCTAACTGTGGATTCTGTGTTCAAATAATCGCAAAAAATTAACAAAATCGCCCATAATATATCTCAGTTCGCGAAATTCGCGAAACTGATTTCACTCAAAACAATAGAACTCAATAGGGTTTCAATATTTTTTCATGACATTTTCAGAATCAATGTAGAATTGCATATTTTCAACCTTAAGTTTTGTAGTGGAATTTTGAGTTAGGCCTGGAGTCCGGAACCCCCTCAAAAGTTCGGTCATAGGCCCTAGACCCTAGTTTGTTGGTCAATTGCTATCTCGAATGAGGGTGAACCCCCCTCCCCCCCTTAAGTCTTAACAGGACCATTGTCCATTGTCTAGTTGCGTCTAATGACCGAGACACTCAGAACTGAGAACACAGTACGTGTCTTTAGTACCCTCTGGATACCTGCATCAAGTTCAAGGACAAATATACATGTCATATATTCGTTAAACTAGCTCGTTAGTCTAGTTAGATTAGGGAGCGATAGTTAAAACAATAGCATATAACATAATCTCGAATATATATATATATATATAAGTTAGATAATGTTCTTCATTAACCAGCTTTGACAATGGAAACCAGAAATACGGTGGTGGATAGTAGTAGTACGGAGGTGGAGTGAATTCGTTGGCACGGTAAACATTGGGTTCTATTTTACATCCAAGTTGAAAATTTTAGTCAGGAATATTGGCATCCGTTAAATGGCATAAACAAAAGACCTTGATTCCTAAACGTATCACAGTGATTGAGGGGCATAAATTACTTCGACCAAATACGAGCGACTGAAAGGTTGCACTTCAATTTCACCATTACACGTTACAGTGGAGTTAAACTGTGTATTAATAATATTTGGTGGGTCGGGTTTCTTGGATTATACCGAACTTTTAGGATAGCTTGGCGATAGCTGATTCTTTGTATTCAGTTGTATTTTCCAGTTTCCTAGATTGGTTCTTATGTTTACTCCATTATTCGTGCACAATGCAAACATCGCACGCCAAGTGGGTGCCTTTGTTTCGCAGCTTGAATCTCGATCCACGAGAGTGAACAGACTAAGGTTAGCGCCAATGGGGAACGAGGTTTACCAAGTATTAGACTTGCAAGAATAAATAAATTCTTACATTTATTACACGATTCGACATGAAAATATTAGCTAACGAAGATGTACATTTAAGTTATTAAAAACCGACCGGACCGGTAAAAAAAAGCCAAAACCTGAACCGAACCGAAATGTTGGTCGTTTCCAACCCTGGATATGTGTTACGGATATGGAAATAAGGTCCAAGGATTACGAACTTAGTTTTAATAGACTATAGTAAGGTATTTAATTAAATTCAATTTTCAGTAAAATGTTATTGTCAAAAAACCAATGTAAAATAGTAATAGTGTACAAAATAAAGTGTTCATAATAAAATGTCTACCAAAATTTATATCGTGCACGTAAGTATCTGACGAGTTTAAGTCCCAGGACATTGACAAGCGAAATGCCTTATCTTCACAGCGTAGGAGTCATCAACTGTTCCCCATCTTGAGACCGCCAAAACATCCTGTCCACCCACATGATGGCGGACTCTGTTGTCATTTCCTCCGCCACGCGCCCACTTTACCTCCCACTCAATATGCTGCCCGTCAGACCACTCCCATCCCCCTTCTTCGTGCATGTCGTGCCCACCTATCCACACCCAGTTGTCATCATCCCATCTTTTCTCTTCAGATCTGGGTCCGAGGAAATATTCTATTGCTCCCACCAGTTTCATTAACTCGTCATCAGACCGGATTTTAGCAAATTCCAGACCAGCATTTTTGCAAGAAATGTTAGCTTCGTCCCAGCTTTTACGCTCTCCTGAAACCATATACTTTCCTTGGTACTGACACACGTATGGTAACGCCATATTGACAAACGAATCATCCCAAAAGCCCTCGTGATTCACTCTCACGAATTTTTCTTGGCATGGCGTATTTCCTACACACAGTTTTTCTATTTCACTATGTCTGGATCTCCTATAATCAGGTTGTCTTGGCATCCAGCTCTGATATTCCCCTGCTTGAGTACCGTCTGCATATTCCCACTGTCCAGGGTAGTATTTCCCCGACATTAACCAACCCTTTTGATCCTTCACTCGAAGTCCAAACCAAACCCATTTTGTGGGAGCCCAACGATCTTTTTGTTGTTCATTTATTGGATAGGCCACTTCTAGCAGTTTTGCAACCTGCGAGTTCCTTTTTTCGTTCGGTATTTTTGCCAACAGTCCACCTCTTCCAGTCCCCATATCGAACTGTTCACATTTTTCCTCTGCAGTCATGTAGTCAGTGAGAGTGGGAAAGAGCGCCAGATTGCACGTCAAAACAACATCTTCCTCCAATCCTGTCAGATTCTTTAATCCGTTTAATTGACTCCTTTCCTTGTCAGTAAACGATTCACATATGCAGATATCGAGAACAAGGACTATGCTTAAAGCAGCAATCGAGGGAAAATTTAATCGTCTCACAACCATAACTAAAGCTGCAAAAATGACTGATGCTTAAAGCTGTATATTGCTTATAATATTTTCCCTGGAAAGTCGTGGACAATGGTACATATTATTATTATGCTTAGACTATTATTTTAAATTTACAACTAAGTAAACGACCCTATCGTCCCCAATGGGTTAATAAAGTTTCGCATCATAGAATACGTGCACGTCGAGGACCATTGTTAACTACGGTCTCGTGATCAGCTCACAGAACACGTGACTTTTAATACCCTGTGATTACCATTACCTCTGATTAAGTTAACTAACATTCTTCTTTAATCACCTTTCACAAGGGAAACTGAACACGGCAGTGGACCCGTGGAGTGGATTTGTTGGGCCTGGTTAAAATTCGTTGGATCCTGGTTTACGTCTAAATTGGAGATTTCACTTCAATTCCACTATATTTTTAGTCAGGAAAATTAGTGCCCGTATGGAAAAAAGTATAAACAAGGTGGTAAATATACTATTTATGAAGTCCGAGGAGTCATAATTCTCATTGCGTCCTGACTCTCTTGACTTATATACATTATACATACATTAGTAAGCTTCTTTGTTAAAAGCTTTTGTGATTCAAAGGGAAATATTGCAATTAATATAGAGTAGTCCGTTTCGAATATTAACCAAAATATTGTTAAAAATAATTAACCTTTCTATCCTATTATTTGTGTCAGCAAATTTAACGAGAATGAATCGCATGTCACACGTCGTTGATCAGGATAGGAGACGTGAGTCACCACACATTAAAGCTTCGGAATTTATTCTAGCGGAAATTTCGGGATACCACGGCGGACTTTCCGCCGTACTGTCCTCCACCTTAGTGTCATAGCCTTCACGAACCTAACAGATGCCTATTTAATATGCTCCAATACGCCACAAGGAGTAAGAGTGCGAGTTGGAATGGGATGATGTAACTAGAATCTGATCAGATGAAACGAACTCAGATTGATGTTGGTTTCGTAGCCTATATAAAGTGCCCTCGGATGTCTGAATTCTAGTTTGGTCATATTTTATCAGATTTAAAATCAATCGCTGAGGAGAAAATCCAGCAGAAAAACACTGACAATGAGAATTATGATATATTGACAGTTCAGTTAGTGGCAGGAGCTGTACAGAATTGCCACAATTCTATTGGCTAATGTCCAAGGTGAAATAATGGGCGGGAAAATATACTCAGAGCTGTAGCCAAATGATTTGAGTCTTTTTAGAATGTATACTCGATAAATGAAGCCACTGTAAACATAAAGGTGCCCCTGTAAAAACACCCATTTCCGTGTATGTCTGTCCACTACGGTTGGGACCAGGTAAGGTCTTGGTAGTAAAACAAGGCCAAGGTTAAGAAATTCTGTGTACCGAACGTTTCAGGAGACCTAAAATGTTCAGAGAGGATTTTATCTTATCATCCCAAACCATGAAAAGCGGGTTTTCTCAGCTATATCGTCCCGCAGAGCATGCTCATCTGTCAATGCTATTAGTGCTCGCGGGACCTAATTGACTTTTGAACAGAGAGTCAATACACTTTCTGTTTGATTTAACTCATTTTGTTGTAAACAGAAACTATTAAATGCGAAAATACTGTGACCAGGTTGTTGGTCGCTAATTTTATTTTGTTGAAAGTGAAACTCCCGTTTATTTAGTTGTGCAATATGAAAATGACATTTTGCAGAATTCAAATATTCCTAGCGCGCGCGTTTGCGCTGTCGTGCGCGCGAAAAGCCCTGCAAAAAAGATGAACGCGCGTTCCATCAATGATATGCTAATAAACATTTTCCTTGTGTTTGAGATTAGTTAAAATAATAAGCATGAAAATAACACAAACCTTTTGTTTACTAAGAGGCTCCTTCTTAGTGACTGATGAGGTATTTGCGACTATTTCTGATGAGCTGGGTTTAGTAGTGACAGCTACAAGGTCTGACATTGTAGTGCCGACACACATCATTTTACTATTTTTAACTACTTTGAGTTCTTTCAAAGTCTTCGTGTCGTCTTTCACTAGACCTGAAAGAGATAGATGATTCGTGACAGAACTTAAATTTTGCCATAAAAACCAGGCGTTATTCTAAAACCTTTAGCAAACACGTAGTATGGAGGCAGTAGCACAAATGGGCTTACACATATTTATGAAACATGAAACTATACTAAAGGACTTAACAGTTGACAAGACAAAAAGTTCAGCAAGCTCAATTTAAAGATACCAAAGAAAAGTCTCCAATAACCTTTAAACATAAGCTTCTGCATGGCTCTTGGTAATTTAGTCAGAGTCTCTATGTGATCCTTTAGCTCCCTGACCGTTCTGTTTTCCCCCATGACTATCTCATAGTTCGTTTTGTTATAAACTAATTTAAACTTCACTTCAGGTCCCGGATCAGCAGCTGGGGTTATCTGATTCTCAGCCGCAGGCGCGTCCAAGTTTTTAACGAGCTCATTAGCAAGGAGTTTAGTGTCGATGAGGTTTGCTTCAGGGGTAGTTGCAGGATCTGGAGGAGGTGTGGAGGCGGCCGCAGCGTCGGGAGGGGGCGCTGCGTTACCAGCTACGGGATCGCTCATCAACAGACTCCTTCAGCTAGGGTTTAATGTACAAGTTACCAATACCGTTGTCAGTTTCAGCCTTCCTAACTTGTTACTTATCTAAATGATGAATTTTGAGAACTTTTTACAAAACAAGATCACTCGCAAGTGTAATTAATCAAGTGTAATTCATAAAATAGATAAAACATGAAAACAACCGGTTTGTTCTGATGTGTGAATCATCTAAATATGAATTAAATTGTATCATTCAACCCCGATAAAACGGTGCGAATATGTATCAGCTTTCATTTTATCCTCGTAATACATTTTGTAAAATAAAATATTAAGAAATTGTTAAAGATACACACTATACGTCTGCATACTGCTATACTGTAATGATCAACCTCACAAGTCAATAAAAATAAAAATAATATCCATTAAGTTAGTTCCTGTAAGTCCCGACTTCAACTGATTATCACCTCCATTTAACAACCTAAAGAATCTATACGAATCGCTCTCCTCCAAGAAGACCCCCATATCCAATCCCTGTTGAAGTGCCTGGCAAGCTGTGTTTTGAGTAATGACAGCACCGCTGGCGTCAGTGGGCCCATCCTGGCCGTCAGTGCTCGTCGCTAGAAAAGTGATCTTGTAACTTGTGTCAACTTGTCCTGAAAGTGTTATGAAGTTTTACCCACGACGTTTAATTTTAAATGAGCTGCACATCATATAATAATTTCAGTACTAACAATTCAAAAAATTGTTATATATGACAGGCAGTTGAGATTTTTATTCACTTATGCGGCTAAATAATGTATATATAATATACATAGAAACAAAATAAAAAACACTGTAATAACTGACCGAGGATTAGTGCTGCAGCTAGAGCCATTTCCTGGCACCTCCCACCCAGCCCCTCACCTTGCACTGTCACTGTTGTCTCTCCACCAAATATTAAACACCTTTTACCACTATCTGAGGGCGGGATTTAGTGTATAAATCTAAAAAAGGGTACGTATGAATAATACCTGTATGTCTAGTGTCTACAACAGTTCGGCGGGGATAATGTGATGTCATCAAACATATTTAGTTAATATTCTTTAGTTAATATTCTTTAGTTAATATTCTTTAGTTGATATTCTTTAGTTAATATTCTTTAGTTGATATTCTTTAGTTGATATTCTTTAATCGATATTCTTTAGTTAATATTCTTTAGTTAATATTCATTAGTTGATATTCTTTAGTTGATATTCTTAAGTTGATATTCTTTAGTTAATATTCTTTAGTTGATATTCTTTAGTTGATATTCTTTAATCGATATTCTTAAGTTAATATTCTTTAGTTAATATTCTTTAGTTAATATTCTTTAGTTAATACTCTTTAGTTAATATTCTTTAGTTAATATTCTTTAGTTGATATTCTTTAGTTGATACTCTTTAGTTCATATTCTTTAGTTCATATTCGTTAGTTAATATTCTTTAGTTAATATTCTTTAGTAATTTCTTCCAGAAATTGGGACCTAACTTTTCCCTTTTGTACATTGTTGAATAATCTGTACATATTCGTAATATTATTAACACGAACACAATAATTAGGGCTTCTGTTCTGATGAAACTTGAGGACACACCCAACACTTTTACATGACATATTATACTTATATGTATAATATTTTATACATATAAAACCTGCCTGATGAATATATTACATGACGTGGAAACGTCACATCGATGAAATTGTATTGAGTTATTAACGTACATGATATTTTTAAATGCAGTATGAAAAATTTCATTGAAAATACTAATAACTTAATAATTTATTGAGAAAACACAGATTTGTTGGTTAGTTTATATAATTAAACACTAAACAGCTCCATTGTTATAAAAAACCAATTTATAGCAATGTAATGTAATGTACAAACTGTTATGTTTAGAAGATAAAGCTGATCTGATCTTGCCACCAGTTTCAGGAGAGATATGTTCGTATTTTTTGTCTTCAGAGGGTATTGCCACACATTCCATCAGCTCTCTTGCTACATCTCTGAGGAAATTGAATAATTTACATATCTTACTTGTACATACATTCGAAATCGATTTTCGTTTAAAATGATAATTTTTTAATTGAGATTCTACACTTAAAATCTGTAAGTGTATAGTTTATCAACAGTACGGTCAACGGTGTACATAAAAACCATTTGCATTCAACGCGATTAAGCCAGCTGAAATAGTTGATATCCTAATTGAAAGAAGTTGACGAAACTGACGAAGAATTCTAACCTAGCTTCCCCATCCAAAGTGTCTGTAATAATAAACGGACTGTATCCCTCGCTCTCACTTACACGTGACGCTATATCTAACGCTACCTAAACAGGAATAGGATGATATCTATCAGCGGTCACGTGACATCACTTGTCAATACTAAAAAGAGGTATACTTCCGTTAAACTACCGTGCTATAAAATGGTAGCATTGATTAATAAGGTTTAAGTCAGGGTTTAAGTCAGGGTTACATATATAACAAATTTAAATGTATCGACACCTAGATTATGTCCAATCAAGGGTAGACAAGATGAAAGTGTATTAAGACCTTGTTGGAGGCGATGATGAGGTTGTAGATGTCATTTCCACACGTGGCAACAGATGAATGTTCGCAATGAAGCAGACCCTGAACCGACTGTGGTAGTTGGGTGGGAGTCACGGAGAGTTCTGCCAAGGTTCTGATGACGTCATCTCTTGTCACCTTGGTAGAGCGGAGGTTATAGTTAAGTTTCATAGTTAAGTTTCATAGTTCAGTTTCATAGCAGAGCTTCATTTTTCAAGTTTAGGTTATGATTGGAAATTTACAAATCATTAACGTGTGGAAAATAGAAAAGGGTAAAATTCTAAAATATTCACCTTGGTGGGTAGGGTTGGACCACTTGCTATGAAGTTGATAGGATCCCCGATGACATCTGATATTATCAGAGATAGTATCGTAGCAGGAGATATGAAGCGGGCCAGACCACCTCCCTTTACTTTACAGAGGTATGTTCGCACTGTGTTCAACTAGTTTGGGGAATCGGGTTGAGAACATGTTCAGTCGGTAAACATTCATTTGGTGTAGATCGTAGTTTAAGCGAATCATTTTAATAGTACGGGATTGATTCTTTCCCGACCTAATAGATAAATTAAAATTCACAACACTCCAATATAATTATAATAGTGAGTTGATCAATAAATTACTGACATATTGAGATCGCATTTTAATGGTAATTTATATCTATATATAAGTTAGGAATTCCCTCCATCTAAATAATAATGACCCAGAGTTATACCAATTGATAAAATGCGAATATAATCATTTATATTAATCTTTAACGGATTCGCTTTGCATTTAGATTATTCAAGCTTAGCTTAAATTTCATATATTACTTCTAATCTTACAGTGACAGTAAACAGTAGAGACTAAATAACTAAGCATAAGATGAGACTAAATAACTAAGAATGAGATGAGACTAAATAACTAAGCGCTGTAATTTCAAACTATTCACCTTTTGTGAACGCTTAGTCAATACTCTCGCCATGACAAACCAACAAACTGAGTCGTGGCACTATGATCGTGGCCCTGTGATTTATATCTTATTAATCCAGACTTAAATCTAACAGTTTGCACAAAAAATATTGCAGATTTAAAAGTTCCTATAATAGAGAAGAGCAGGGAGCTCTTTAGAGAATATCCGCGCAGCCACCTCCTCTCCAGAACCTGTTAAACCCTTCCGTCTTCTCCACACCGTCTCCGGAGATTCGTCTGTATCCGTGTTGACTTCAGCAGCAATCCGCTCACGTATCTTCTTGAAGTATTTGCGAACTGTAGCTCTGGAGACACTTCCCTCAAAAGCTGTTTCCCCGACAGCTTTCCCGTCTGAGAAGCCAGCCATGATTACAATAAACTGCCCGGCTGTAATGCTGCTCCGGTGCAGCACGCTCCCAACTTTAGGGGTGATACACTTTTTACATGTCGGGCATTTCCAGCGAGTTATGCATTGTGTTGCAGCACACTGGGCCAGGGTCATGGGTATGTTACAGTTAGGGCAGTGGTTGTGAGTCCGCAAGATCTTCATGTCGAGGAGGAACTGCATACAGTTAGCTTCAGTGGTAAACATTCCCTCTCTATCGTAGTCATCGTAGCTGCCGTATTTGTGGGGTCTGGAACAGTGAGTCATGACTGTAGAGAGTGGCAAGTAAAGGAAATGATATCATGTGTCATGGGAGCTGAGTCTTTTGTACTTATTTCCATCCAAGATTGCATGGTGAAACGTATCGCTCAGACTTCCAAATATGTACTTGGATCGTAATATTGCTACGTCACAGGTCACGTGATTCTTAACGGGACCTGTTACCGACACCCAGACTAACTTAATGCACTCTAAAACGTCACCAGACCCTACTACTAGACCACGGGGTGTATTGTGAGATGTCCAAATCTGGATGCAGAAGGTTGTCCGATGGTGAGGGGCTTGCATTTTAATGTCACGTGATCTAGCAGCGAAATACGCAAACAGCCAGTTTTAAGTGCATTCCTATTTAATTTCCAGCTTTTACTAGCCAGGTTATCAATACTATGGCTGCACGGTATAAGCTATGGTTGTAAGAGGTAAGTGCCCTCAACACAGACCTCATTTCAGAATCAGACTATTTTCAGATGCATAGCTTGTCAGTTTAGTGCCAACTATTTTGCAAATTTTGCAAATTTAAACTTTAAAGTGATGCAACGCATTTGATCTTACTTTTTTTTGTAGTGATGTCCTATTTCAAATAGTGTATCAATGATGGGAAAATGGTATGCATCTAATTCCTAAATACCAATGGCGATATTGATGCCGAAAATAAAGTGTTTAAATTTATTTGACTACTTGAAGTCAAATGGTTTTAAACTTAATGTTTCTCACTTCTCATAAAGTTTTACAGTCAGTGATTAGTGAACTCACGTTAGCTGCTCGGAAAACGTTTTTAATTACAATTGCGATAGGTACCTAATAGTTTTCCGTTCTTGTTTGATTTTTAACAACAAAAAGTAAATGAAAAGAGAACAAAAATAAGAAGAAGAAAAAACCGGAAATAAATATGTAATTTAGTTGTTAGTGTGGTATCTGGTCGTAAAGCCAAGCGAATCCTCTGATAAATAATAATGATAACCTATTTAGTTACATGTAGTTATGTAGTTACATGCTTAGGGATATACATTAATTTTTCTTTCAATTTCAGATATTCATAATTCATATTCACATGCTGGAAACACGGCCAACATTAGGGTTTCGTAGCTCTACTCTTAAAGATCAAGCAACGACTTCCTTAAGCTAATGTTCTCAATAACGTCCTGAATTGAGAAAACCCAAACTTTAGATGCTACTAAAAAGAGAAGTTAGAAGTAGTATTACCTGTTGTATAGTAGCAGAGTGAGAAGTTAGTAGTTTTATAGTATCTATCATGTCCGGTAACGGAACTACAGGATCACACAGCAGAGCGGATCCGCCACCTAAATACACCTGCAGTGAGGAATCATAGGTGGTGTCTGGTGTAAAGTGGGGAAGAAAACAATTAAATTTAAAATTCGATGAATTTATATTTATCAATTTTCGCAATTTTCTGAAACCAGCACCCCACTTAAACTTAAAGTATTATCAGCTAGAGCTATTGAATTAATTAACAATAAAAAAGTAAGAAAGTTGACCTTTGCTGGACCACGTATTTTAAACAAGCTGTAAGCAAAATTCCTCCAACTACCAACTCACCTGATATGAGACAGATACACAGATCCCCCTCTGATAAACTCTCCGAGTACTTGATAATATCTCCTGTAATAGCGAGAGTGTTCTCGTCAGGCAGGTTGTTGCGCGCTGCACGTGCAACTACCTCTGAGGAATTGCTACTCGTATCTATTGTGTTGCTATTTGTAGTCATGGTAACGTGAGATGACTCCGGTATAGAGAAATAGCTGCGCTTTATATGCCTCCCCAGCTTTCTGAAAAATTAAAAATAAATTTTTCAAAGTAATCTGATGATTTAAAATAAAGTAAAAATCAAGATGACCCTTCCGAAATTAATAATCAAATATGAAGATATGATAATACTAAATCGATCGATTAGGTAACACTATAATATATACTGTGGACTTGAATATTGGGGGTTCTTTGAATTTGTTTAGAATTCGTATAAATTGATTAGCAGTGTTTGTAGCCGATTTAATTATCTACGATTTTGACAGCTATTATGATCATGTTGATTGCATGACTTAGCAGAATTGATAGATGTCTGCTTAACGTGGATTATGTCGTTAGTCCACGGCGAGAAAACACCACACATTACATTACTTCTTGAACTAGTATTCAAAGTTATACTTATAAATATATTAGTTATTTTTCGTACAACGAATTGCGAATTTCAAGATCTTGTAGTTCTGTTTCTTCAGTTTCTTCAGTTTTCACTCTTTTGGTTGACGTTCTCCCACATATAATCTACTGTCTTACCATCGGTTGGAACACGCCTGCCAAGACCTCCACGAATGGGCTACCCCACACACCCCGTAAATTCTAATGGTGTTCTCAGGCTGAACTTCTAGAGTTATTAATACAAATAACTTGGTCTCCTTTCTCTTGTGACACCCTAAACAATCACTGTACAGTCCACTATAACACATATGACCCTTTAAATCTTTAACCACTCCCTTTCGGGATTAATTTCGGAGAATAGAAGCTGAAAGTGGAGTAATTAAAGTACTAGATTCAACAGCCAGAACGCCATGAAAATATGACCTCATTCACCGCTCAGCCGTTAAATTGAGGTGCTGCTCTCAATTTTTGACATTTAAATTATTCGTTTTCGACACGAGGGTCGCGATTCGTTGATTTTCATGGTTGAGGGCTTTCTAGTTCGGTAATTCCTGTATAATTGGGATTATGGGCATCACATTGTGATTTAGAAGAGCATCTTTTGTGAGCACTTCTTTATTGGTCTATTTTCGAACCGAGGAATATTATCATGTTGAAATACTACTACTTTTCATCAATGTTTTGTCTTGCACTAGTGTTAGGACCACTTAAGGTAAAGAATAGGGCCAAGTAGGAATAAGAACAAGACAGCCCTGATAATGTGTCCAGTGTCCACCATTAGTGAGGGATAACTCAATATCTAGCCATTGAACAACAGCTGTCCTCTCAAAAGTTGGGTGATGGAATGAATTGACATAACAAAGTCCTCATAAAAATATAATTCACATGACGTAACTTACTGGTGTCTGTCCTGTTCTCTATGATGAGTGCAAGTGATGACATCATCACTTCTCTACCATGACGTCATCACTTCTCTACCATGACGTCATCACTGCTCTATCATGACGTCATCACTTCCCTATCATGACGTCATCACTTCTCTATCATGACGTGACGTGGTCCCACGCCAAATTAAACCAGTTCTCTAGAACTTAAGTTCATCTAATCTGAACTTATAACTATAAGGTTAAATGTATTATGGTATTATAACTACTTAACCACGAAATAAGGTGCCCCATTAATCTGGAAACCACTCAAGATTACCATCAGCGGCACTACCTACAGCTTTACTAAGCGACCGTATTTAACGTACCAACTATAACCGGTTTTGCAAAGGATTTGACGGGGAGTCTAGAGGTAGTGTTAATAACTTAAGAAGGGTGTTTAAATTACAATTAACTTCTAGTTAGGACAGCAACAATTTGTTGACGAGAAGGTCGTGGGATTTGTTCAATGATGATAGCTTTTATCGAGCTCTGTGGTGTACTAAGTCAATGTAGGGCGTTGCCATGATTCTATTGAGTGTTACTAAGTTGATGCAGTGGACCAGTATGTTACTAAGTAACCAGAGCGTTACTAAGTAACCGTGGATTTGTAGAGTGTTACTGAGTTGTTATGCACTATTAATGCTTTTCATACAAAGTTACAACAACGTCTTCATGTTATGTATCCTATGTTCAACAATTTAGCTTTAAATTTAAGTTCAAACGTTTTTGAGAGTTGGGAGAGAAGTTGGGCTGATGCGTTACAAGATTATTCCCTGACAGGGTGTTCACAGTTTGCACCTCTAAAGCCCAAATAATAGTACTCGGAAGATGAATAGATAGATGAAATTGATATCTATTCTCATCTATCATTATATTTCTGATCGGTGGAGTCATTTTTTAAGTCGTCAACTGGACTAGCATTGAAATGAAGCATACCGCATAATCATAGTAATTAATATCCATTCTCAACGAACCTTAAATATCCTATTCAAAAGTATGAAAGGTAAGGTATTAACTGGGTCACCTTTTAACTCGTCAACTAGATTGCACTGGTATTGAGTTGAAGCATACCGCATAATAGTTATAATTAATATCCATTCTCAACGATCCTTAACTTTATTATTGAGTCACTTTTGAGTTTTTAACTCATCGAGTTTGACGCTCTTGCTTTGCACCGTTACTCTTTACGATAGTTTCTGACGTTCTGATACATGATCTCATGTTTTTGTCGATATTAAATGTCTAAGATTGCATTAATTGAAGATCTCCGCCCATGACCCCTACAACACATAGCGTAGACGTTTATCACTCATTATTTATCATATCACTATTCATATTATCATAATTGCGGGGACGAGCTCTCGATTTTAGACAACGTTGTTGAATATTCAAAATAATAAATTGATACAAAAAGGTCAAGGTCTCCTCAAGAATGGTTACACTGTATAACGTTAGAGTGACCTGTACAGCTGTTACTGTTAGTTGGAATTTAAGCTCGGGGTTGTACCATGATCATCATCATCAGCATGGTAAAACCATACCGGCAACCCTTAATCTGGTGGTCTGGCATATTAACTGTTTGTCTGGATTACTTTAACGAATTTAATATAAATTTCAAACCCAGACCTTAATTTTCAATCGTTTTAAATGGCGGACGACCTAAATACTACTTGATCGGACAACTAGTTCAGTATTCACCCAATATATCAGTCCGTTACTGATCACGTGATGGCGCCAGGACACGCATCTTATTTTCTTGCCATTTTTATTACTTTATTGGATTCTACAACCAACTGGTGCTTGTACTAGAACCGCGATTAAATCTGAAATTCCGAGTTATCATTGCATTATTAATTGGCTATGAAGATGGTACGACCAGGTAGAAGATGGTTAGCGGTTGCCCACTCATTTTATCATCTCCGTCAAATTTGACTCGCCGAATTTATTTCGGTACTCTCTAGGAATTCTTAAGGCAGGACTTCACTACAACGTTGTCAATGCCAACTTGGCATCCGTTGGTAAGGACTGATTCATTCCGGAAATTAAGTAGAAGTTTCAAGTGTGTGGTCCTTGGTTCTGCACTGTAGAACCAGCATCCGCACACGATCACGAGTATGAATTTTTTTTAAATTACTCAATTATAATATGATTTTGAGTAAAGGAAGATATTTCCAAGGTATCATAGTTTTCGCATCGTTGGAGATTTTATCTGGTTCAAAATTCTCATTTTGACTGAAATTTTAAGCTGAACTAACAATATATCGGGAATATAGATTATCTCTAGTACTATTTTCTTAAAATTTCGGCGTAATATTTTTGCATACTTGTGGATTTAGGCACTCACAAGTCTAGTTTTGGGCCCAATGTGAGGTGTGCGAGGAGGACTGGAGGAGTTTGCGTTACGTATAGTCTAGTCAGTGTCAAATGATGCAGTCCCCGACGTGACGTACTGCATGACTTATTCATTTTTAATCTGTCGTGAGTAAGAGACAATTATAATGTTTGGCCAAATATTATGAGCAAAATAATGAAATCTCCATCGAGAGATCAAGGATAGCGAGGGCTTCAGGGATGATGAATGGTTAACTATAAATAGCGATTAAGATTTAATGAAGTTAATGACAGTTACGAGTACTGATTAGTGTGACGTTTCTGTGACATATAACTGGTGATGCTAGATCTGACGCTGCAGATGCCACTTTTGAATTTGCCGAGTTCATCTTGTCGTTTTCTTGGTATCACAGAATAGACTATCATCAGCTCTCTTTTGAAAAGACACCTTGGCCAAAAAAGCATACCAACTACGTGCAGATAATATATTATCCGGAATCAATTACAGTCTCAAAAGACGCCACGCTTAGGATCTCTGGATATAATTATTGGATATAATTATTAATTATTTCATACCACTACGGCCCATGTGCTCAGGAACCATCTCGTCATTATTTGGCATAATACATGGATCTGCCCTACTGGTCACTGTCAGGTAATCATAATCAAGTACCTCATATCCCCAATTCGTTTAATATAGACACCTTGCAGTTTCTTTTGCAGAGGTCTTCGGTCTTCCTAATTTGTTGATTATCTTTAGTTATGATGCACTTGGATAATTCAGTGTTTTTGTTCGTATTTCAATTTTGGTAGCAGCTGACTTGATTGCCAGCTTGGAAATATCGTGTTTCAATCCAAATGCAGTTGAATGCACTGACGAAATGGAGAAAGTTGACTAGATTAATATAAGTACGTCCAAATGTATTTAGAGATTAATTTCAGTAAACGAACACTTAAAGTGTCATTCATGGGTTGGTATACCAGTTTATAATTCCAACACTATTTGGAAATATCTCAATCGCAGAGATAGCCACTGTCCCCTTAAGATCCTATTTATATGGGCCAAGGTGCATTTGACTGCCATTAGTAAGTACTTTCGGCTGCATTTAGTGCCAGCTGCTTATTTTCATTATTGTTGGTCCTGTCAAACCGGTATTACGCTAATCAGGATTATGAAGATATGCCAGCGTAATTGATAATAAGTTTATATTTCAACTGCAACTGGTTCTTTCTGTGCCGTATTGCCTATGTCTAAGCCTTGTCAACAGTAATACTAATTTCAAGGGCCAAGGATCAAACTGAATCCTAAGATATCCTGCTTTATGATCCTGCCGGGTATGATTGTAACTATGATTTGTACACAAACACTTAGTGGC